GTATAAGAAAAGATAAGCTTACATCTCATATTTTGGGTCTCTCAAAAGCAAATTTAATGGAATGTGAAAACGAAATTTTATCTTCAATAAATTTTCAATTTCATTTGCAGGATAAAGATGGAAAACCACTATTGCCAGAACCTGAAGAAAAATCCAAGGTTGGAAAATATGTTTTTCCTAATACTTAAAAAAACAGCACAAATGTAAAGTGTAAATTAAAACAATTTTAACATCGCATTTCACAGGCCACCCAGTACTGAGGAGGGGAACTCTGGTAGCAACTCCAAGGCTGTTGCCTCTGGCTCTTTTACATATATTTTAATGATGGTTTTCTTCATGAATTATTTACTAGACTATTGGTTTCTAAGCAACATTCCTGATCATTAGGGCTAATGCCAAGAGGGCTTTTACATTAGATTACTTTAGCGTTTAATTCAGACTTTGATCTAGTAGCAACATGAAATTTTCCTCATAGCTTCATATTGCCTTAAGTTGACAGAATGATCTATTTGCTATCATGATGACCCTAATCAGCAGCATTTATTAATCACTTACTGTGCATTCAGCATTGCTCCAAATGCTTTTCATATGTTTCTTTAATTTTCATTTTTTTGAGGCCCACTGAGTATGCTTAGGGGTCATTACATGAGCACAAGTGTGGGGTTATTTACTGGAGCACTGACAACTTACTAGTGGCCACACCACTGAAGAAAAATGGCTCCCCTTCTCCCAGCAGCCATTAACTGCCAGTAGAGCCTTAGAGAGGGGTTTGGCCTCATGAGCCCCTACCCCATACATGATGGAATGTTGGCACGCTCAGTTTTGTGCAGGTCTTGGATAGGAAACCTCAGCTGTCGTGAGTGCAGGAGTCATGTCATACCCAGAAGAGACTATTTCACAGCACTCTTCCCTATCCTCCTGCTGTGACATTCTTTCTTCTCCTTCTTCTAAGATGATCCCTGACCTTTGGGGGAAAGTGTATGTGATGTAGTGTCCCAGCTAGGGAAGGCCAATCACAGTCGCTTATTCTCAGCACTTTGACCAGCTGTTAGTCTCTGAATTAACTGCTGCCTATGTGAAAGCAGCTTCTCTGATCAAGGTGGGAAGCAGCACTCACGTACAGCTTTCACATTTTCACATGTTGTATGAATTTTGATTCCTATTTTATAGTGAGGAAACTGACACACAGAAAAACCAATGTTACACAGCTTGAAAATACCAAGTCCGAGACTCAGGGCTCAGGCTGTCCCTCCAGAGGTCCAGCATCTGAGTTAGACCTTCTCATTATCCATGTACCACATCCTATGAAAGAGCCAGGGATACAGAATCTTCATGCCAGAAACCTCTCCTTTCCTGTAGGTGTAGAAAGGAGTAAATGGTTTGTGTTTTCTCTAATTTATTTTCTGAAAGGAAATTAATAGGAAGTAGGAAATGAATAATCGCTTTAAAATTGTACAAATCTTCACTGGAAAGAACAGGAAATTTTATTTGAACAAATTCCTTCTCAAGTTGAACTACCAGTTAAATAAATAAACCTTGAATGTTTTCATAGTGCTGAGGTATTTATTCCTTTCTTGTTAGGATATTTTTCTCTTACACTAATAAATATGCCTTATCAAGTGAGCTATTGGTTTTAGATCCTAAAATGTAACTAAACTGTGTTAACCAAGAAAAAAACCTATAGTCCTATGAAATTTTTTTCCAAAGCAAAACTGTCTTCATAATATGCATTGCTTCTTATATTACAGCCCCTGAGTGAATCAGAGCTTATTGATGAACTTTCAGATGATTTCAACCAGTCTAAATATAAAGACAAACCATCTATGCCAACTGGAATAACAGAAGTATGTTTCTGATAATGTCTTGGGGTTTTAGTGTTCTTTTTTAATCCTAAAATGTGTAAAGGCCAAAACTATCATAGGATCAAGAAGCTGGTTTTTGAAAAGCCCACTTCCCTCCTTTTATACAAGGAGTTTTCATTTTGCCTTCTTCTGGATGTGTTTTCTATTTCCGGCCTAGCACTGATATTCTTGTGGTTAAATCCAGCAGTTGTTCTTGGGGGAAGCCTTCATACCCTTTCCTTCCTGTCAGTAAGTTGATTACAGTTCCCCTCGCCTCTCATTTCAGAGGTCTTCGGGCTCCTTCCTACCTCCACATTCTCCAGAGCTATTCTCTCTGAAGCATGTTTATAGTTACCATCCCCCTGTTCCAACCCAAAGCTCCCATTCCCTCTGAAAGAATTCCAACCACACCACTATGTGTTCTAGCTGAGCTTACTTTGCTACCAGGCCTGTCCCTGTATCTCTCATCATTTAAGTACACACATCTCCATGGTTTTTCTTATTTGGTCCTTCTATTTGAAACAATCTTGCCTCCAAATTCTAGACTAACTCAAATCTTAATCATCCTTTTACAGCTATGCTAAACTATGGCCTTTCTCTCTCCCTTACCCATGTCATCCTTCCCACCCTTATTAAGAGGAATACTCATGGCAGGGGTTCTTAGTTGTTAGGTTTTTTTTGGGAGGGGGTTGTTTTTTTTTTTAATGTATATCTTTGTTAAAGCACTTTTTAAAAAGGGTTTTGAGTTATATTGGTGCTTCTTCAACTCTAAGCTCTATATTTAATTTTAAATAGTACATTCCTTGAACAAAGAAAAGATCATGTTCTGTTGTGCTCTTCTGTCCAATGCTTTGCATCTAGGAAGAGTTTTTGTAAATGTCTTGATTAAAACATTTGGCATTTTACTCTTTTGATATGGTAGCACAATGATTCTCAAACTTTAGCATTCATTGTGGTCACCTGGAGAGTTTATTAAAAGCATAATTACTGGACTCTGCCCCTAGAATTCCTTGAGTAGCATAGTTCATTGGGGTGGGAGCCTAAGAATGTACAAACAAGAGGGGAAACAAGGTCCCTGGTTCTATTGAGGCTGCAAGTCTAGGAACTACTCTGAGACCCCTATTTAGGATCCTTCCTCTGAATTTATACATGGATTATAGTTTGCAATGTGAGCTTAGATTTATATAGATATGTAATTTATATAACATTATATAATAGACATATTTTATTCTCATATACTATATGATGACATATAAATAATAAATAATGGCAATAATTTCTCAAGTTTGAGTTCACTGTGTTCCCAGGTATCGTGCACAGCACTTCACGTGCCTTTTTGATTTAAGCCTCAGATTAGCCTGAAGGTGCTGTAGGTATTATCAGTGTTCTCCTTTCACACAAATGAAATGGAGCCTGCAGGTTATAATAACTGTCTAACAGTCACCAAGGAGTTTTAACTGTCTTAACACATATTTTACCCAGGAAACATTCAAGAAGATCATGCTTACAACTTACAACTCGGAGTTTCTAGCTGGTATTACCATTTGGTTTTATTAACCAGGTAGTTCTAAAGTTATTCAAAGTCCTTGCTTCTTTCCTCAGAAATCTAAGACCACAACCCCAACTCCTGTGACAGAGGCTGTGCCCTGTGCCTCCATGTGCAGTATACAGTCTGCACCTCCCAAGCCAGCTTCCTCGGTGAGTAGTTCCCTCAGCATTGAAAAGGGTCTTGAGAAAGTTCTGTCCTTTCTCCCCTCACTTTCTGCTCAGTATCACTGTTATATTCTGAAAAAAATTAAAAACGAAATCCAACACAGAGCTCTGCTCTTTATTGTATTTGGGCTTCAGTGTTGTGCTGTAAATTCAGGTTAGATTTAAATTTTTCATTGAATTGCTTCCAGCTATGTTCTGCTTTCATCTTCTGAAATTCTTTGTAGTTCAACTGTTGTCCATGATCCTTTCATCTTCCCCACATCTTTGTAGTCTGACAGAAAGTCCGATGCTACCTTTTTTCCTACTGGGATACTATGCACCAAAATCATGATGATTCCTACTCTAGCTTTCCCAGCTAGAGGGAAGAACCGCTTCATTGCCTTGCCTGTCCTTTACGTCTGGTCTTCTCACTCTCGAATTCTTGAATGAACCATTCTTTAGTTAAATCCTTACTTACTTTTGATTCTGTGAATTTTGATTCGATCATCAATTCAGGATTTTGATAGATCCTGACTCCAAGAATCTCTGCTACACATTCACCAAGTCTGAACACTGAGTAGACAACTTTCCTCATCTCTGATGCCATTTGTTCTTGTTGTTCTGCAGTAGCCTCTCTTTCCTTTTGTGGTTTGGAGTCTTACATGTGCTTGACAGGCACTCTACTACTGAGCTCCATCTACAGCCAGTCTGCTCAGTACATTTTTACAGGGACACCATAAACCCCGTTCTGATCCCCTTCCTGTGGTAGACAAAATAAAGAGGCTTTACATTGATCTTGAACACTGCACCTAACAACCTGGTGAAAAGAGCTGTGGCCTCTGGGATGTGTGTATTAAGTTATTTTAGAAAAGAGGGCCTTGAAAACAGCAGAATACAAACATCTTGAATATTGTAAAGTGGCTGCTTCCTGCTAACACGGTGCTTTCTGCCAACCACAAATCTGATTATGAGACCTCTCTCTTTTCTTGTACAGGACTTTTCCCCTTTTTTATAACACAGGGTTTCAATGTGTAGTCCAGGGTAGCCTTGAATCCCCCATCCTCCTTTAGTTTCCCAAGTCCTGGAATTACACCACATTCAATCTAAGACACAGTTTTGGGTTTCAGAGTACTTTCCAGAAATGTTCTCATTGTGAAGGTCAGGCCATTGTGATAAAGAACAGTAGAGGAGAAGGGAACTTAGAAGTGCCCGGTGAACAACAGTGGACATACAGAGAGTTAAAAGAATCAAAGGACAATCGCCAGCATTCCAGGGCAGAGCTCTTGTAATCTAAACTTGTGCCGTCTACCTCACGTGTCAAGTTAAGTGCCAGGCACAGCCTTAGAAAGTTCTGAGAGTTCCTTTCCAACCTTACCCCTGACTCTAGAGACTGGATTTTTAGTGGACAAAAAAGAGCTCTTGGACTGGAGAGATGGCTCAGCAGTTAAGAGTACTGTCTGCTCTTCTAGAGGATCCAGGTTCAATTCCCAGCACCCACATGGCAGCTCACAATCATCCATAACTCCATTTCCAACGGATCTGATGCCCTCTTCTGGTCTCCATGGGCTTTGCACAACGTAGGTGCACTTACATACATGCATGCAAAACACTCATACACATAAACTAAAATTAAATCAAAAAAAAAGTTTTTAAGAGTTCTTGTATTTCCTGTTCTTGTCTTCCTTTCCTTTCTACCCCATGACTCACCACTGGTGCCAGCATTACTGTCTTTGAGAAAACAGGCATTTTAAGTTTGTGACACTCTTGAGAACCAGAGAGAATAACAATATGAGTGTGATAAATGTCAGAAGAGCTCAAGAAAGCACGAGGATAATTGAATAAAGGGAAACAGACCAGAGAAGAGTGTGTGCCCAACCTGTTTCTTGTGAGTTGTAATGTGTTCTGAGCAGATTCAGAGACATGAGTTCAAGTTCTGAACCTGACAACATAAAATGTTCCAGAAATGAAATTTGTAGTCCTTGGTCCCACTACTAGACCCCTTGTTTCTAAGACTGCTTCTCCTAGCTCTTCTTTAGTAATTTTTAAGACAGAGGCAGGTAAAGCCAGGAGTTGGGGAAGCAGTGATTTCCAAAGGGTCTACAGAAAGATTTTGGGAAAACAAGTAAAGTATGAACAGGTATCTCGGATCAGGCAGCAACTCAGATTGTCTGGGTACTACTTGGGTACCACTGTAACTCTTACAAATGAGGTATAATCCCAGTTATTTACATCAGGGGTTCTGATAGGAATAAATTCTATGCAGTGTTTAGCCACAAGGTGGTAGTACATCACTTTCCACTCAGCCTCCATTTCCTCATTAATAATGAAAATGACCCTTTATTTAGTAGAGTTTTTCTTACTATGCTGGCTACTAGATAGCAAACAGACACGTGTTCATTTAAATTCCAGTAGATGCTCTAAGTGAGGTCATAGGTTTTCATGATGAGCTTTTTCACAGTGAAACTGCTTAACTCAAGGGTTTCTGTGCTCTCATTTGACTAAGTTCAACAGTAGAAAACTAGATATTGGAATCCAGTACCCACACAATGGAAACAACACTTTAATAAATAGCACTTATCCAGGTTATGTATGATATGTTATATTTTCCATCTGTTTATTTAAAAGTTCTGGCTAGGAAACAGTCAATTGATTTTTATGAGCCACTCACAAACAGATTTGACCCATAGTTTGGAAAAGCCAGGCTAGTCCTGTCATTTTGGCAGACATGATTTCTTCTTTATTTTATCTTTACATCCATCATTTATGCTCACTGTTCATTTGTTCATTTAAACATCACTATGGGCAGATTTGGTTCATAACATCGAGATGAAGCACATTTCATTTTGAACAGCTGGACAGGGCTAGGTGGTTCTTATGGTGCTCAGAGGACAGTCAGTGACAAGCAGGGGACCTGGAGCCAGCTGTAAAAACAAGCCACAGCAAAAACAAGCTGCTTGCCTTCTCCCCTGGGTCTGGCCAAGCTTCATGATGGAGATGGGCCAGAAGGTGCCCGCGAGCCTTTCTGAGAATCTTCCCTGAACTGTGCATCATCATAATCTCCAGGAAGCACGTTTCTGCCTTCTTTTCTTGCTTTCAGCTTTTCTTAGCCTCTTTGACTTCCGTTCTTCTAAACCAAACTTCCAGCTAGATCTTGTTTTTCAGTGTCAATATGTAAATTTCATAACAATGTTTAACATAAGAAACTTGCTCTAATTTCAACTTTCTCAACATCTTGAGACCTCCATTCTAATTGAATTGATAAATTATTAAAAGATAATATGTAGACTTGAAATAAGTGCCTTTCTGAATTGGTGAATGAGTAACTACCTACTTAGTTTATCCACCTGTGTCCTTTTAGGAGGGCATGGCGCCACATGATGCCATAGAAGCCTTGGCTGGAAGTCTGGGAAAAAGAGAAGCAGATCCAAAAGATGGAAAACCTGTGGTAGATAAAGTCAAGGTGATGGTAGCTCAGATACTTGTACAAAATAACTTGTCATTAACCCTTCCCCTCAGTCCAGTCCTCTAATACATTAGCTGTTTGTTTTTATCAAATAGCTGCAAAGCATGATCCGCTGGCCTTATTTGATTTAGTGCATATCCTGTTTAATACGCTAAACCCTAGGAAGTTCCAGTGTTGAACCACCAAAGTGGATAGGCAGCACGCATGTGTTCAAGTTATCTGAATCTTACCTTTGTTTACTGGCATTTCCATTCATGAGGGAACCAAGAGAAGAAGTACGCACCCAGTTTTCCGCCTAACCTGCCTGTCAGCCCAGCAGGCTCTAAGCCAGTGTCTGAGCTGATAAACCAGAAACTGTTAAAAATTAAGTTATTGGAGGGATTCTTAACAATAGCCCTATGTATGTTTACCTTAAATTTAGTCTCTAAGGTTTCCATTTTAGGAACATATTAACCCTAAAATGATATTATTATTCAGGAGAAAGCTAAAGAAGAAGACTGTGAAAAACTTGGTGAAAAAGAAGAAACAATACCTCCTGATTATAGACTAGAAGAGGTCAAGGTAAACAGGCTGAATATGTCCCCATTTTTTTTTTTACTGAATTTTACATACATAAAGAAGGGGCATGAGAATATAAAGATCTTGTTTCTTAATATCTCAACTCTATATACTCTATATAGTATCTGCACTAATACCATGTTAGAATACTAGATATGAGACTATATGTAGCTTTGTAAGACAGGGTCTCCCTGTAGCCCCTGCTGGTCCTGGAACTCATTATGTAGACCAGAGTGGCCTTGCTGTCACAGAGACCTGCTGGTCTCTGCCTCCCAGGTGCTGGGATTAAAGGCATGCATCACTACACCGGACTCATATTCTTGAGTAACCTTTTCTCCCTTCCTTAAGTGAAGAAAAATTTATGTCTACTTTGAACACCTAAAGTTTTCTCTTCAAGCATGTTTTTTACAATACCACAAATACAGGAAAACTTCATACAAGTAGAAAAACTGAAATGAACGATTATTTCCTTTTCAGAAACCTTTGTAGTTCTTAGATAGAAATTGAAAAACTGAGTCAGTTAAACATCAAGTAAAGTGGTAAATTAACCTACTCTTTTCCTAGTCTAAGGACAGGTTGTACAAAACAAGGGACCCAGTGAGAGCATATCCATTATAAACCTTAGTTTCAATACAGTCATTTCAAACAAGGTAGATACTGAGGCAATTCAACAAATAGAAGCCATCTTTACAACATGCCACTAAAAGAAAAGCTTGGCTACACTAGTAACAGCTATAAGCAATTGAATTCATAATCCTCATCCATCCATATGCACCGGCTTCTTTGTTTTGCAACTTGGGAACTAATACTGAATTCTTAAAGTTTATTACCCTGGACACACCTGTATTCTGCATTTCACAGTGCAACTAAAAACCATGGCATTTCTATTATTTGGGGCTTATTAGTATGGTACTTTATCAGTTCTTTGAGAGCATTTTCAGAGCCACAAGTCTGTCTCCACTAACCCCTGTTTGGTAGAAGCTGGCCATGTGCAGTTAATTCCCTTCATAGTAAGAGTGTGGTTATTTTCTCTGCCTTCACTGAATTTTAGTAGCAGTGTCTCAGGGATTAGCATCCCTGATCCCTTTACTCAGAGGTGGTTTCATCTCCTCTGAACTTATCTCACACATTATCAGTTACCCATTGCACTGTAGTCTTCCCAGGTGTTGACTTGATCTCTTCTTTAAATATAGTGTTGCCATTCATCACCTGTACTCACATTGAGCATCTCCAGGGAGGATCACCTCCCTGTTGGCAGATCTCAAGTTTCCCTTCCCAGCTACTGGATGATGAGGTGGTAGAAGATGAATTTCATTTTCAATGTAGAGCAAAAGAGCCCCCAGGGTCCATGCCTCACTTAGGACCTTTATTGCCGTTACAGCTAAAGCATGGTCTAGAAGTAATGCATTCCTTGCTTTAAAAAAGGTGCCAGTGAGCTCAGAGGAGATGAAAAGGGTTGTTAGTTATGAGGAAGCAGCTGATATCTCTAAACCATTGCACCTCATATTTAAAAAACAGAAAATAAAGCAACCAAGAACTTACTTTAATCACTTTCCCATGAGAAATCTTCATAAATAGCATTGTGCTCATTTATTTTTTCACATGTAGATAAATGGAATTTATCATTAATTTATAGATCTTCTTTCACTAAAGAAGAAGTTAGTTTTGTTCTGTTGCTCAAAAGTGGCACTTGAAGTCATTTGAAGCCTGGCGTACTATGAATCTTAAGTTTCAGAGTGTCCCACTCAGAAGATAAGCTCCCTGGGAAGGAACTTTGGCTGATTTTTGTTATGGCCCCAGTGCTTACTTAGGCCTGGGGTTGGCATACAATTGCTGTTAGTTGGATGTGTGATTTACAAAGCTAACCGCTAGTTCCCAGAAAAGCTCTACAAAATCCACCCCCATATAGATGAGAGGTTTGTTGACCCACACATATAACAATACACACACACACACACACACATACACTACATTGACTATTCACGTGTTTTCTTTTGTGCTCATCTCTTGTCTTCTGGGATACAAGCCATACCTAATCTTCTGTGCAGACCCTTTACCTAGGGAAGGCCTGATGCATGTAAGCTGACTGTTGACATGAGCTGATTACAGTGAATATTCTCTAAGAGAATGTTTTGTAAAATGATGAATCTACTTCAAAATGTACAAGAGTGGTTATAGCCTACTGTTTCCTTGTGTGTAACTTTCATATTTGGAATAATGTGGAAAATGATTCAATGGTATGTTTTCACCCTGAATAGGATAAGGATGGAAAACCACTCCTACCAGAAGAGCCTAAGGAAAGACTTCCAGTAAGCAAACCTGTTTTATTTCTGAGCGTTTCTGTCCACTTTGGGCTCTGATTGGTCATTTGGGAAGGGGGTAGCGTTCCCTTTTACTGAGCCTATCAGAGTGTAATGTGGCACTGTGCTACTGGTGTGTTACATTTTCTGCTTCTTACAGCCCATGAGTGATGACTTCCTTCTTGATGCATTGTCTGAAGACTTCTCCAGTCCTGCAAATCTATCCTCTCTTGTAAGTATGAAACTCCTGGTTTATTTGTTGTTAGAAATAAAGGGAAACTTTTTAACTTTTGAGTTGGAAGATGAGGAGGAAAATCACAAGTATTAATGGCACTAAACTTGCTATAAAAACCATATTATACCCTAAAGTACTGTTCTAGAACACTGTTTTCAACAATGTAGTTGAACCAACAAGCAACTCGTTTCAAGTGCCCTTATAAAGAGGTTTATGAGTTATTTCTACAATTTATCATTTTCCAAATTGCTTCCTAAGAAAACTTAGCTCCATGTGGAATAAAAAGTCTCTGAAAGGGAATTCTGTTACCAGATGGTTTGGACAATGTTAGGTAATTCAAACATGGTCTCTATTGTAGGATTTATATGGCCTTTATGGACAAACTTGTAAATCTGTGAGGGTTCCAAAAATGATGCAGGCTATCCTTTTACATCCCAGTACCTAAGTCATTGAGTATATTTTTGGCAGTTAGTTGGAAAATGAATTAACATGTCCCTTTGTGAAACATGGCATGGACTATGTATCAGTTGGGAAAATACAGTGAGAAGAAATAATAACTCCTGTGGTTTCCTAAAATTTCTGCTGTTGCTGAAGTAGTAAGCCCTGGAGGAAAGGGGTACTAACCAGTGCATGCTCCTTACTGGACCCCTTTAAAAGCAATACATCATCCCAACCCATGACCTTCTTTCATATAAGCAGGAAATATCATAAAAGGTATCACAGATCTAACTCCAACACTATAAGATACAGAGAAGGCAGCTACAATGTGGATAGTATTCAAAGATTATGGAAGCATCTCCATAATAATAATGTGGACCATATGAGTCATTGTGAGGGAACAAGGCTTTAATCCCCTGCCTCATCCTGACTCATTATTGCTACTATAATTAGTGGTTTTTTTCTCTTAAAATAACTTAAAAATATGGAAACTGTAAAATTGAATTTATATGTAGCCTACTCCCCCTCTGAGACATGCTAAGCCGAGAAATTGAGATAAAGCAATTTACTTTAAAAATGTCTTCTTAGAAAATTAATGATTTATCAAAACTGTGTCAAACTGTTGTTAATAAAGTAGAAATAACTAAGTTTGATAAACATCAAATTGATAAGATAAAAAAATATTTGGGAGACAGAAGAACTTTGGTGGGAAAGTATCATATGCTGACTCATAAAATTGAATAGATGATGTGATTGCTGTGTATACCATACTCTTTGATCTTAATAAAACAGAATAGCAATTATAGAAAAAAGTAGAATTTTAAGATATCCAGATATCCCCACATAATACTGAAATCAAGAACTAAATTCAGAATATGCTATTAAAAATAGGAGAACAGGTGCTGGAGGGATGGTTCAATGGTTAAGAGAACTGACTGCCCTTGCAGAGGACCTGGTTCACTTCCCAGCACCCATATGGCAGATCACAACCTCCTTTAGCTCCAGTCCCAGGGGATCTGATGCTCTCTTTTGACTTCCACAGGCACAGGACATGCACATGTTACACATACATAAATGCAGGGAGAAACTCATAGACATTAAATAAATTTTAAAATATTTTTAAAAGAAAAAAAGAAAAGTAATACTCACTCAAAAGGAATACCTGCGTATATTCATAGGTATGACTATTTGTAGATAACACATTTTTAGATGATCTGTATGCTAGTGTATTATTGACAACAGATCAATAAATATGATTAATATGAAGTTCCAGACTTATTTAAGGAAAACCACAAAAGAAACAAATGAATAGAAAAATAAAAATAAAAATATGCAGAGATAGGAAGATGTGCATCTAAATTAGTTTAACTGTTCTAAAAGAATGATGGTAACTCTTCAATTCATTTAATAAATTATTTTGTTATTACAATATCACTAAGGTATCTTACATAATTCAATAAGATTATTCTAAAATAGATTTGAGAAGTAAATGTATTAAAGCATGAAAACAAAAGCACTTTAAGGAAATATTAGCCCAGCCACACACAGAATCTGAAATACAGGAATGACAAATATGAACCACAGCACTGAATCAGAGTAAACTTATAGCACGATTCACAAGAGGAAAAGAGAAATTGATGAAGATGATGGATAGAGTACTTTTGAAGAGAATCAGAAAAAGTCATTATTTTAGAGAGTTTCTGGAATAATTTATTGTGTAGCATTTATAAAAATACTACTGTATACCATTCATAAAAATACTGCCAAAACCTCACACCACAGAGCACACAGTGTCAGCAGAAGTGGTATGCCACTTTGCAACTGTCATCAGAAGTGAATATGTAATATAAAAATTTAATTCTGGCAGCAGGAAAACAGGCCTGCCATCCAATCCATTGTTTTCAGCAGTATGAGTTCTAGCCACTTCTAGAACATAGCTAGCAGTATATGTTTAAGAAAGGCTCATTTCTCAAGAACTAATGAACTATACATTTTTAAAGGGTAGAAGAAAGTATTTTGGAAATCCTCCCCATGAAAAACTGGTAAATCTTTGAAAAGATAGCTTGAACCTGATTTTAACATTACATTATGCATAAATGTATCATGATGTTGCATTTTGCTTCATGAATATGTACAGGTTTTCTGTTTTTATGTATCAGCTAAAAATAAATTTAGGTTGAAAACATTCCTCTTCCACAAAATTCCTACCTCTCCCCAATGACTGTAAAGCTGAATATCACAATTTCCCTTAAACAACTGGAGCTTCTGATATGAGGCTATATTCTATATCTAACCTCCAAAGGACGCTGAACTCGCATCCCCCAGAGGCCTCATTCTGATGCACTTTCTCCAGGAAACTCCAGGATTTTGAAGAGCCTTACCCCACTACCACCTCCCATAACATCTTGCTTCTGACTTTGAATTCACTGGAACAGAAGCTAAGCTGAAGAGTAATTTTCAGAAGTTAAAAAAGATGCATGCCTGTAACTTTTTTAGAGTAAGTAATTGCAAAAACAGTTGAAGAGCTGAACAACCTGATGTCCAACAGGATGCATATAAACAAACCACAGCACTCTGAGCAGCTTATTTGACAATATTTAGGATAATTAATATGAAATAGAAACAGAAAATCATTAAAATACTATTGAGATGGAAATAGAAAAAAAATGTTTTTAAGAGTCCATTAGAAGATGTGTATTAGAATTAAGGAAAGGTATAGCCATAAAGTTATGTTAAGAGTTGTACTTTAAAATGATGATATTGTGGGAGCTGGAGAGATGGCACTGACTGCTCTTCCAGAGTACCAGAGTTCCGTTCCAGTACCCACATGGTGACTGATAACTGTCCATAACTCCAGTTCCAGGGAATCCAGCACCTTCTTCTGTCCTCCTCGGGCATTGGACAACATGGGTGCACTTACACAGGCAAAACACTCATACACATAAAATAAAAATCAATAAATCCAAAAAGGTAAAGAAAATATTAAAATAAAATGTTGGTATTGTGCTCATGATTTCAACATGAAATCATGCAACATATTAATGGTAACCTTTTTTTAATAAAAGAAATTTGAAGATGCCAAACTTTCTGCTGCCATCTCTGAAATAGTTTCCCAGTCACCAGCTTCCACCACCCATGCTGCAGTCCCGCCTCCTAACACTGCGGTAAGCAACAAGTTTTTCCTTGGGAGATAACTGTTCTAGCAACAGCCACAATAGAAACTAGGATACCTGTGTAAAACAAATGAAAACAGCAAAATTAGAGATCAAACACCTTGTGTTTCAAGACTTTCTGATGGGAGCAGCTTAGATTGCCAATTTAAATGTTTGTGAAATGATAAAATGAAATAACATGAAAATATTTCACTTACAGCCTAGGATCTTAATATTATTATTAGCTTATCAGAATTATTGATAATATGTATCGCCTATATTTTAATTGCTAAATTTGAAAATTTCCTTGGGTCTCCTCATAACTGATTTCCTGACATGCTGTAATTTACTCCCATCATTTAATATTTATTTTATGGAACTGCTCAGTGTTTGAGCTCTTCCAAGAAAAATTACAAACACATCATGGACTCTCATTGTTTTTGCCCCATTCAAGATAGTGAAAATTTGTCATTTTCATGCTAGCAATAGAAAACCACAGCATCAATATTGTTTTAATTATTTATGTGTTCTGAGGCAAGGCTATGAAATGAAAGCTTTTCCCAAGTTCTTTGATTAATTATCTGCAGTGCCAAACAATACATTATCCATTGAACTTCAAAAGACAAAGGGGCTGCCCTAGCCCCGGCCCATCTTCTGTGCTGAGCAGAGTACCTCACTTGGTAGGTGAAGTTGCTGTAGTGGAGTCAGCTCTGCTTCCTCTCCTTTCACTTCCTTTCCTTTTGATGTAGCATCAAAGCTTCCTTAGCACAATAGTCTCAGATTCTGATGGATTTGCATCCTCTTGGGACAGCTTGAGATCATCTGAAAATAACCAGAGACAGACGTGACAAAGGCCAGGCTAGCCACACATAGCTCCACGATTACTAGCTGTATTCTTGGGCTCTGATGAATCACATAAAACCAGAAAAATGGTGTGTGGTATGTGTGGTGTGTGTTTGTGTGTGGTCTATGTATGTGTGTGCGGTGTGTTTATGGATGCACGCACGTGTGTGTGTGTGTGTGTGTGTGTGTGTGTGTGTGATGTCTGTGTATGTATGTGAATGTGCCTGGAGTGTGTATGTATGAGCGTGCAGTCACAAAGGCCTTTCAGTAAAATGAATCAGTAGTAACCCAACTGCAGTCTGCATTTCAGTTCCTAACTCAGCCCAAAGTCTCACCCTACTGAGGCTGCTCAGAAGCATTTGCTGTCACAAGCTTCTGTCTTGCACCAGGAGGTTTTATAATGATTTCTCTCCCTTCCCTTTTCCCATTAGAGAGTCTTGCTTTATTTTAGAATGTCAATAAAACTAAGTGAACAGTTTTATTTAAATTAATTAATCTTAGCATATCAGAGTCAAATAACTATCACAAATCATGCAAATTTTCTTTACCTAAGATTCTGGCCTGTATCCTGAGAAATATTTTCAAAGAAATATATAATAAAATCATCTTTGCTGGAAAGCCTTCCTCAGAAAATCTTGAAATGTCATGAATGTGACTCAGTGTGACGGGAAAACGCCCACTTTCAGTGCCAGGACCTGGGTTCTGTTCACCTTTTAGCAATGTTGAAACAGCTGACTTAGCTTTTCTGCACTTGCTTCTTCTGAAACAGTCTGCTGCTTTCCCCAGAGGATTCTCACGTATAGCACATAAAACTGAATGAAGTGTGAGAGAACATTTTGGGAATAACTGCAAAATTCTACAGGGCACTGGACAGAGCTCAGCAGGGTGTCTTGTACAATATAGATGTTAAACATATTTTAATTGAATTCATATAGCTATACACTAAATTTATGCAGATATGAATATGCAACATTTTGAATGTAGTATGTTAAAAGACTATACTGAAAAAAGCTCATTTACTTACTGAGCACCAGCACAATCCTCTCAGCAACAGGAGTTATAGGTTGTCTTCTTTGCATTTCACAGCTGAGAAAATTCATGTCCAGGGCTGTTAATTACCTTAGCTGAATCACACAGCACACAAATGTAAAAAAGCATGTTATTCTAGTCACCTAGAAATATTGTAGTTCTGGTACTCATAACTTCTTCCCCTATACCACTAGTTCCCATTCATTTCTTCAGTTCTACTTTCTTGGGCTTCCTGAAGGTAAGGTGAGATTCTCCACTGGTTCAGAAGCTCTCTACAGTTTTTGTGGACCCTCATCCACAGTGTGTCAGAGAAGCCCTCTTTATTCCAGTGATACCACACTGTCTGAGATTTGGTGTCCCAGGAAATGACGTGATGGCACTGGGCCCTAAGGCTATACTTTATGTGTCCTCCTGGACCTGATCTTACAGCAGCGACAAAACCAAAGACATACTCCCCTCTCTTACCAGCTCCTACTTGCTAACCTTCTGGCTACATCAGTGGATGGAAACTTTGTTTAACTTCTCAATGGAGAGAAGGGGACCATCTGTCTATGGATCCCTTAGGTGACATTTAGGTCACCTGCTAGGGTGTGGCCCCTGCTACTACCACTAACTTCCTTAAGCTGAGAAAGCTGGCTAGGGTAAGCAGGGGGAGTCCATCCTCTGACCTTACTGTGCAGTTTGGGTGCCACACTCTCTCCCTTCCGCCACCAGCACTTCGATTCTCTGACACTGTGTCTTCCCTTGACTTACTCCTACACATCTTTCTCTCACAAGAAGCCAGGTCCACTCCTGTAAAGTTGAGGTTCCTGGGTGACTTCTTTTGTATGGTTTGGCCAACTTGATACTAATTCCAAATTATTTACCTTTTAGAAGAATGACAAAGAACTCGATGATGCATTGGATAAACTTTCTGACAGTCTTGGGCAAAGGCAGCCTGACCCAGATGAGAACAAACCAATAGAGGACAAAGTGAAGGTAAAAGAAAGCATGGATCAGTGAAACTTATAAGGCTTTACAACACATAGTCCCCACCCTCCACAGAAAAACACACTTCTGGCATTATCTGGCAGTGAGCAGTTGGATCACTTAAATCTTTTTTACAAGCATAACTGAATCTGAATTCAAATTGTACGTGAGAACCTTGGGCTATGCAAAGGTGTGTGTATGGACACAGGAGATAACTCTACACACTGTATGCAAGTACAAATATTTATACTCAACATAATACTTGTTAATCCATTTCAACTTCTTCATTGTAGTTTGGAATAAAGAAGTAACTGGGGCTGAGGGCATGGCTCAGTGAGTACAGTGATTACCATCCATTCCTGACAACTTGAGTTGCAATCTGCAGACTTGTAGTGTGAGCATTTATAATTGTAGAGATGGGAAGTGCAGACAGAATTGTTGGATGCTTACAGGCCAGCTAGCCTGGTGTACACAGTGGAATGACAATAGAGTTTGTCTCCTTTTTTTTGTTTTTTGGGGTTTTTTGTTTTGTTTTTTGTTTGGTTTTGTTCCATTGGGGTTTTTTGTTGTTGTTGTTGTTCTTTTGAGGCAAGGTCTTACTGTGTAGTCCTGCCTGGCCTGGAACTCACTATGTAGACCAGGCTGGCTTCTGTCTCTCAGAGATCTGCCTGCCTCTGCCTCCGCAGTGCTGGGATTCAAGGTGTCACTACCCACCTGGCTAGAACCTGTCTTAAACCGATGGAAGGTGAGGACTGATATCTAATGTTATCCCCTGATATCTATACCCATGTGTGGCATTTCTCTCCTCTACTCTCCTCTCCTCTCCTCTTTCTCTCTCTCTCTCTCTCTCTCTCTCTCTCTCTCTCTCTCCTCTACACATAAATATGCAAACACACACATATACAAACACACACAAAAATCATACAACATAACATCATATAACATACATGCAAAAATAATAAAATTGAAGTAACCATCTGAGCATCTGAAACAATGTCCTAATGAAAACGCATTCCTGTCATTGCCAGAGTCATACTGAAGTGCACTTAACCTACATTTTAAAAATAAACTGTGTTGTGCAGAGGTTAATCTGAACTCCACAGATTGTATGACAGACCAGGAGCCTCATGGGCGAGCATGCTAGGGTTGGTGTAGCTTGCTCCGCAGCAGGTGCTTCCTCGAGCATTCTGTGGAGATCGCCCATCTTGCTCTTTCAGGGTAGCTTTAGCATTTTAAATATTATCGCCCTGCGTGCCAAGTTATGGTGACCTGATTTTTAATGAAAAGTGAAATTAAAATAGACAAAAAATTATTCTCTTGGACTTTTATCTCCTGGAAAGGTTTCTGGGGGTGACTATTGGTCCTTCGTTTCAGTCTAAAATCCAGATGGAAAATCCACAGAAATGAGCTGACATATAGAAACGAGAGTTTCCATTTTTCAACTGTCTGTTGTCATTTTGTTGTTCTGTTGCTTTAAAAAAATCATATGTTTTGTTTCCGAAATGTACAATAAATACAGCATCTGCACTTTGGACAGGATTTTATAAGTGAAGGAGGAAATGCATAGCTCATTTATCTCTTCAATATTTACAGGAAAGAGCTAAAGCAGAACATAGAGACAAGCTGGGGGAGAGAGACGACACCATCCCACCTGAATATAAACATCTCCTGGACAATGATGGGCAGGTAAACGGAGGCACATAGCTGTATTGGGTTAACATTTCAAACTATTTTGGCTTCAACTTCTCTTGAAGTGAATAGAAGATAAATTCTTACAGTAGCATAAAAATATATCATGGCCGAATGCTTTTAATGCCCCTGCAGAGGTGGCAAGCCGGCTGTCTACCATTCTGTTACACCTGCATGAGCCAATCTCATTAGATATTCATGTGCTGGGCCCTGTGGTATAAACTGAGTTCAGTGATGTTAACTGATGCTTAATAATGATTCCAAGAAATATGTAGTTAAAATTACTTTCTTTAAAAGTCTATAGAAATGCCTAAATCAATGAGATTTTCAAAGGAAGTGGTCTCTGTATAGGGAGAACAGAGGGGGAGTTAGTGTTGTTGGGAAAATTAAGAGGGTAAGTAAATAAGACAACTCCAAGCCCTGGCCTCCCTGCCTTCTGCCACAACACCAGTGGCACTGTAGAGTCTGAGGGCAGGCAAAAACCTTCTTTGTAGTCATAAGTCCTGTTTTGCCATCACCAAGTGCCTGGGCTTTGGTGTTCTTAGGTTGACATGACTTCTCTTCCTTTTTTGTTTGGTTCTTACCTTAGAGGATGAATAATCCTTTCTAGGCTGTCTCATCAAATAGAAACAAGAGTCCAAGTTACATCTTCTGTGTGTACTGATTCCTTTGGTGGGGAGGACCCTCCCTGGCCAAACAGTGCTATCAGCCTCAGTGCCTGCTGGTACAGGGACTGAGTGATTCTCCCTGCTTGTGTTGAGCTTTCCTGGTGATGGCCATTTTCCTTCTGCTGTGATCACCACCTCCCACATCGATATTGCCACATCACCCTGCTAGAAGTGTATTATTTTAGTGTCCTTGCCTTTGAGGATAGAAGAATCTCTAATGAATTAGGTATACTTGTAATCTTATCTGAAAATAATCTTCAAATCTTTTGAAAATGTAGTAAGTACCAGGCCCGATGGTGCCTATAATCACAGCTACTTAGAAGGCTAAGGCAGGAGAGTTGGAAGTTCAAGGCCAGCTTGGGCAACTTAGTTTAAAAAAATAAAAAAGAAAAAGGGAACTGGAGATGTAGTTCAGTGGAAGTGCACATGCCTGAAGTGCATAACGTCCTGGGTTCATTTCCCAGTTACATCAAAACCAGCCAAACAAACAAAAAGCTCAAAGCATTTTTTGTAACATTTTAACTAGAATTATAAATTCTAATACCTGATGGCATAAAATGTCTAAATAATATCTGTGTCACTTCCCGGCCAAGAACCCTGCATTTCCCCAGGGCTGATGAAAGGTTGTGAAGGTGAAGGGAACTGGTACAGGAATGATTGGGAGTCATGTTTATCAATTCTTGTCAAATCTTTGAACGATAGATTCTATAAATGCTGTCTCTACCTGAATGAACCTGTAAAAGAGCCAAGTTTAACTAATAACCTGCCTTGTTTTTAAGGACAAGCCAGCAAAACCACCTACAAAGAAATCAAAGGAACCAAAGGTAAATACTATGGTGTGGTATATTTTCAATGTAAAAATTCTAAGTGTAGCTTTTTCATTTTAAGGAAATTAGAATTTATTGAATGTCTTTGTCCCATCTGTGTCAAGGTGTGCATATAAGGATGTGTATTGTTTATCTCTTGTTTATCTATTAAGAGACTTTTAAAGATAGACAGTGCTATTTTCCAGTAAGAAAACTTGTTTTAAAGAGTGTAAGATAAACCAAATATGGTGGCATATGACTATAGTCTTAGTACTTGGGAGGGGAAGCAGGAAAATCAGGAGTTCATGGTCATCTTTGGCTCCATAGTGGACTTGAGGCCAGCCTGTTGTGCATGAGATTGTCGTAAAAAAAAAAATGTAGGAAAATAAAGATATTAAGTTTTTTTTTCTTTTAAAAATATTTATTTTTTAGCCAGGCATGGTGGCGCATGCCTGTAGTCCCAGCACTTGGGAGGCAGAGGCAAGCAGATCTCTGTGAGTTCAAGGCCAGCCTGGTCTACATAGTGAGTTCCAGGTCAGCTGGGGCTACAGGGAAACCCTTTTTCAAAAAAATTTTTTTTTATTTTTATGTGTATGAGTGTTTTCATAGTGAGTTCCAGGTCAGCTGGGGCTACAGGGAAACCCTGTTTCAAAAAAATTTTTTTTATTTTTATTTTATGTGTATGAGTGTTTCTCTTACATATATGTAAGTGCAGCAGGTATGTGCCTGATGCCCATGGGGCCCAGAAGATGTCATCGGATCCCCTAGAATTGTAGCCAGTTGAGAGCTGCCATGTGGGTGCTGGGAACTGAACCTGGGTCTTTTACAAGAGCTGCCTCTTGTAAATATCTGTACAGAGCTGTCTCTCCAGCCCTGATACCAAGTTTTCCATGTTTTACTAACTCCTCTGTATTGTTATTATTTTAAAAAATAATGTCAGCAAGTTTTTTTTTTCTTAAAATTTTTTTAAGTGTGTGAGAAATTGTGCCATGGAGCATCCCTCTTGTGTTTCTGTTCATATCTCAGAAGCCTGAAGGTGGTGATCAGGACCCCATTGATGCCCTCTCAGGAGATTTGGACAACTGTCCCTCAGCTACAGAAACCTCACAGAACACAGAAAAGGTACTGTGCTTTATCATATTAACCTCTTTGAAATATATGGGAGCATGCACATATGCTTGTGTGTGATTTTTACACTGTAGAATGAATTGAATAATGTTACAGACGATCTGAAAATGAACAACTATAATTCCGCTCACACCACTATTTGGTCTATTTCCCTCTATTTGTCTGTTTTGCAGAGTTACCCCAGGGTCTGTTTATAACACATAACTTCACATATCACTGTTGTCCATATGACTTATAACCTCCACAGCCATCATCTTTGGTTGCCACACTGTTTTGTGGTGTGACAGTACTACTGTCTATGCTCATGAGACCATTTACTCCCCAGGGCCTCTGAAGTTTCCACCGAATCTCCTCTTGGCCCAGCTGCCTAACTTTTCACCCAGCAGAGCCCAACCCAAGCCTCAGCTCCCGCAGGGCTTCTACAGGGCTCCTGCAGGACAGCTTCTCACCCCTGTCCTTTCTGGGGCCAGCCTTAGTGTCCTCACATGCACTCTCTCCTTGCACGTGTTCACCTGTCACTACTTGTGTATTTCCCCCTGAAATATGTACTTTATACAGTAGTAGGATCTTTGATCTCTGGACTCAGCATTAGCAAAGTGCCTGATATTTATCAGGTGCTCAGAACACATAATTTAAAATGAAAAAAAAAAAAAACTAAACCCATTATTTTGTACCATTAATAGATGCTAATAAAAATGAATATAAAATGAATGTGTAATTCGACAAGTGTAGGGCACTTACCTATAAACCACATCATCTCATAAATCATGTAGAAGGCAGAGTGAATTCTTCATGCTTCAGATTGCTGTTGTTTCCACTGCCTTTAAACACACCTGGCAACTGAACCATCAAGCCTTCCATACAAGTGATCAGCCTCCTGTTTCTCTCTCCTGGAAAATCCTAAATTAAAAGCTTTTCTCTTCTCCTTTCTTTTTATTTTTCTTTCTTTTTTCCCCTTTATTTTCTCCATCTCTTTCCCCTTTCCATCCTATCTACTCCTTTCCTCTTTTAGGGTAAATGTACTGTATTTTCACATGCCACACAATCCAACTTTCTGCAGCTCTTTATATTGTTACATTCATTTCTCCACTTAACACTGAAAAGATTTTTTACTCCATTGACACATAAAAGTCAGCTTAAGTAGAGAAAAAGCTTTGATTTTTTTTTTATTCTTGATATGTTCACATTTGTTTTTTTCATTTTAAATTTTATATGTACAAGTGTTTTGCTTGCATGTATGTTATGTGTACCACATTCATGCAATATTTGTGAAGGCCAGAAGAGGGCATTGAGATCCCCTGGAACTGGAATTACAGATAGTTGTTAGAGGCCATGTGGGTGCTGGGAACCAAACCTGGGTCCTCTTCAAGAACAGCCAGTGCTCTTAACTGCTAAGCCATCTCTCCAGCCCCTTATAATTTTTTAAAAATTGCATGTGTGTATTTTATTTAATAAAAGTCTTTATAATTTTTTCAACTTTAGCCCTTGAAAAGAGCAGTAGACCTGTAGATTTGTTCATTTCCTCATTTGCAACTTTCAGCCTTTCTCCTTCATTTCCTCATTTGTTCCTCCCTTTTTTCTTTTGATTTTCCTTTGTGCATTTGAGCTTTTATTTATTTATTTATTTTATTTTATTTTACTTTTGTAGGTGAGGTCACTTAGTGGGGTTTGTTTTGCTTTGTTTGTTTTGTTTTTCCATGTCTGGTGTCTTGGCCTGTTTTACAGAGTGTGATATCTTCTTGCTGCATCCATATTGTAGCAACTGGCAGGATCTCATTATTAAGGCTGAGCAGTATTCCACTGGGTCTACAGATTGCATTTTCTTCACTTGTTCATCCATCTAAAGAAATTTAGGTGGTTTGCATATCTTAGTTATTGTGAACAATACTGCAATAAACAGAGTGCAACATCAATATCAGATGATTTCATCTCCTTTGAGTATATACTCAGAATAATGATTGCTGGGTCATTTGATAGTTTTAGATTCTTCAGAAAGCTCTCGATTGTTTTCACATTAGTGGCATCCATCTCCATTCCCACACACAGTGTACCAGGGCTCTGTTTTCTCCACATTTTTGTCAATACTTGTTTCTCCCACTTTGTTAATGAGACACAAGTGCTGTTTTGGAGCACAAAATAGTTTGTGTGAAGATTTGCCACAGAACTTGGCAAAACACTAATATGATCCACAATTCCTTACTTAGTTTTATCCTTACTTCCTGCCTAAAATGCTTCTGTGTACATTCACTGTTATTTAAAAATTGATTACCAAGCAATAATTGGAGAACTGCAGGCTACTAGAAGGAATAGTTTGGATTAGTCTGATGGCAGGCAGTGTATGGTTAATGTCTCCATGGATTGCTAATAGCCAGAGCCTCATTACATCTCTGTTGCCTTAGGATAAGAGCAAGAAAATGGCTTCCAGTTCCAAAGCACCCAAGAACGGAAGTAAAGCAAAGGATTCCTCCAAGGTAAACATGACTGCAAATATACCAATATTACTTCTGCAATTATAAGGAAGTGGTGTTTATCCTCTTAGAAATATAGCTTCTTACTGTAAGTTATTTTTAAAAAAGACTTTTAAGTACTACCTACCCCATAATATAATCTTGCTAAAGAAATTGAATTTTTAAAGGTATACATATATATATTGTTCATGTGTATATATGTGATATCTTTAAATAGTTGGTGATATGGAAATATAAATTAATGTTCTTAACACAATTCAAGTAGTCTGTGTTTCCTATTTTTATTATAATACCACCAGTGGATGGTTTATATAGATTTTTGGAGAATGTGAGGTGGTCTAGTTTAATTTCTGTTGCTGTGTTAAAAACTCTGACCAAGAGCAAGTTAGGGAAGGAAAAGGATTATTTGGCTTATATTTCCAGATCAGTCCATCATGGGGGAAGTCAGGGAAGGAACTCAAACAGAAACTTGAAGCAGAAACCATGGAGGATTCTGCTTGCTAGTTTGCTTGCTGACCCATGCTAGCTTTCTTATACAGCCCAGGACAACTTGCACAGACATTGGTGCTGGCCACTGAAGGCTCAGCCCTCCCACATCAATTAACAATCACGACAGTACCCCACAGGCATGCCCACTACCCAATCTGATCTGGGAAATCCCTCAATTGTGACTTCCTTCTCAGGTGACACTAGGCTGTTGTTGACAGTGAAAGCTAACTAGGACAGACAGCTTATAAAATTAGGGACTATATTGGTGTTTCTACAGTCCAATATATTTGCTGTATTGTACTTGGGAAGGAGATTAGTAAATAATGAGATGATTAGTTCATTTACTGTGGTGAAATTCTTGAGACAATTAAGTTACAAAGAGAAAAGATTTACACTGCTCGTGGTTTTGGAGGTTCTGTCTCATGGTTGGTCAGCCCCATTGCTTTGCTCTTCTGGTGAGGCATCACTTTATAGTGGGAGTATTTAGGGAGCAAAACACTTACCTCATCAGCCAGGAAACACAGAAGATGAGGAAATGGAGGGCCACACCCCCAGTGAAATGAGGGCACACCCCCAGTTGCCTAAGGACCTGCTATAAGACCCAACCTCTGAAATGCCGTAGCACACCTCAGTGTGCCACACTGAGACCAAGCATTTTGCACATGGTTCTTTGGAGCCATTCATTCCAACTTAGCAGTGCATGTGCTGTACAAAGTAGAATGAAAGCTAATGAGTCCAAGTTGAATGTTAAGAGTTGACCATTAATGTGGCACAGCTGTAGGAGGCTTCCTATTACTAAAATTCCTTGGGCTGTAGTAGGAATGGACATTTCCTCAGAAAAATTTAGGTCCCTTCAAAGTCCATGTATGACTGAAATGATTATAACTAGGATCTTCTGAGCATGATGGAAAATTAAAGATACTGCTTTAAAATTTGTAGTCTAGTTGGAGCAAAACTCTTAAGAACTAGCTAATGGAGTCTTCCTGTAATTGATTACATGTCAAGATACAAGAACATTATGTCTCAAACAGGTTAATTTCTTACTTGATTATTTAATTTTAGTTATGAAAGTAGATGTTCAATTCATTCACAAAAAGCAGAAACCATAATAACCTGACAAAGCAAGAGATTAGCTGGCTAGTCATTCCCCTATGCAGGAGAGGATGGGGACACTGTGGGGTGGGGGGATACTGTGGGGTGTAGACACTGTGGGATGGGGCCACTATGGAGTGGGGCCACTGTGGGATGGAGTACTGGCATCCAGGAGCACCTATGCATTTAAAATTTTTATTGGAGTCTTAAAAATAAGTCTAGTTTAAGAAATTTAGGATTACTTAAGGTTAGTTATAGCTTATAAACTTACAGACTTGAAGGGGAAGAGCTCAGCATGTTTGGGTCAAATCAAGAGAAACTTAGGACCATCTTATTTTCCCCACTGACTGCTGTCTTCTGCCCTTTAATCCTGAGGATCCCACTTTCTCATTAATCTTTCCTGGTGAATCGGTTGTTTAGCACTTAAGAAATAAAAGAGCTCATTGATGGCTTTGCATCCCCTTTTAGAAAACAGAGGAAGCATCTAAGCCAAAAGCTGAAGAAAGAAATACAAGTTAAAGTTTACACTACTGGGTAAGTTGAGCGTTAATTGTAAATATTGACAACCATACCTTCTACCAGTCTGCATCATGGGAAGAGAAACAAAGCCTGTCTCTTGCCCATTTCATACTTGCCATATAGCACTCTCAGGAGAGCCATACTGCAAAATTTGAAGTACTCTATTCTCTGAAAAGCAATAAAGAGATGACTGGGCTACTGGAATTTTTTTTTAACCCTGGGCATGGTGGCACACACCTTTAATCCCAGTAGAGACAGGAGGCTCTCTGTGAGATCAAGGCCAACCTGGTCTACCTAGGAAGTTCCAGGTCAGCTGAAGCAATCTCAAAACACGCCCCCCCCCAATTGTGTGTGTGTGTGTGTGTGTGTGTGTAATATGACTGAGAGTTCTTTAAAATATTCAGCCAAACTCTGAAAAAAACTTATCCTTCTGAAACTGGTTGAATCTTCATGAATTCCAGATGATTATGAGTACAGGCTTTTGAGGCAAAGCATCAATAACATTTTACAACTTGTAGTGAAATGGTGTGAATTGATATCTGAAATGCCAATGTATGCAGAATGGTGGAAATTGCAGAATTTGGGAACAAAGGAAAAATGTAACCATTTTTACTTGCCTCAGTTTTGGAAAGTACTGTGTTCGGCTCTCATCTATCCTTCAATAGTTCTGTAAGCTCTGTCGTGAGAAAAGGGTCCTTTCTTTCAGAGAGGGAAAGCCTATCTATAAGCTTTAAAAACATAAAGCTACATACTCACCAAAGACTAAAAGAAATAAAAATGGGGCTGGCAAGATAGCTCAACAGGTAAAGGTACTTGCCACCAAGTCTGATGAACTGAGGTCCATCATTGAGACCTACATAGTGGAAGGAGAGAATTAACTTCCCACAGGTTGTCCTCTGACCTCAACACACGTGCCTCCCTAAACAAAACTGTAAAAAAGAATTTTAAAAAGAAATTAAAATGTGGGTTAAATGAACTCTCTCACCATGATCCATTTTTATTTCCTTATAAAGATGAGTTGGCATACCAGTTAGAACTGCTCTAAAATTTTTCTCAGAATTTAATAATAAATTTCTACCAATAAGGCACTCATATTTCCTTATAGGAAACTCCTTTCTTCTTTTTGTTATATAATGCTTTTGCCAAGTGACCTATTTTCTGTTTATGAAGTATGAAAACTATATATCAAACGGCTCACCAGATTTTCTGTTTGAAATTTTCAAGGTACCGGATCATAAATTCTTCAACTGGTGGATGGTGACTTTTGAAGAACCAAGGGCTTTGGCAACAGACAAACTTTCTGGGTGGCTTCTAGACAGTGGTATTTGTTAGGTCATTTGACATCTTAAACATTGGTTTATTCCTTTCCAGAAAGAAAATGAATTTGTCTGGTTCACCTGTGTTATCGTATTGAATATTGACACACTTCCATTTTTTAATTGCCTTTAGTTGGGAGAAAGGAAGCTTTATATTTGTAAGAAATATATTTGATAAAGTTTCTTAAAACACCAAAAAAATAGGAAAACTTTGCAAACTTTTGCACATTATACACACAGTGCCTATAAATATCATTAGTATTTCTGGTTTGCACTTAATATTTTTTGGCATTTGAAAAATAATGCTTTAATCATTTGTCAGTGTTCTGATTTCTTATTACCCGCCTTTCCTCTTGGGCTTTTGAACTGTATTTAATGGTTCTTTGGGTTGATGTAGATAAGTCAAACATAAAGTATTGTACATTGGGTACATACCTCCTTTTGGGCTGCTAATAATAAATTAATGACAGATAACCTGGGCAACCCAGGGAACACCAATCTCCTTTCATGTGTGAACCCTTCTTTACTAATAGTGAGGAGTTCTACACCTCATAGAACATGTTGCAATTTGAACTAAGTCAGCAGAAGAGCAAAATGCAGGCTAGGGAAGTCACTGCATAGCAAGTTTCAAGAATACAGCTGAATTCTTTGAATAATCTTCAGGCTTAAAACAATGTTGGCTTACTATTTTATTCAACTGTGCTTTCTACTCTCTCTACATAAAAAACCTGGATGGGAATCATTTGCTTAGACCATTTGCCACATAGTCTATAGGACCCCGCTTTATAGAAGTCAAGTTTACCAAACACAAAGATGAACTTCTGCTTTAAAGATACTGTGTACATATCTGTATGTATATACTGGAGTGTAAAATCTGCTTCTCTACCACAGCAGTTTGAGCTATCCTAACTTTGAATGGCTTCAGACATTTCCGAATAAATACTTCATGAGCACTGCACTGATAATCATTGATGGAATTCTGATAAATAATTAATTTTATCCTTATTTCCTGGCAGTGAAAGCTGGAAAAGATATCAGGTACATATAAACCAAATTTCTATTTTCCTTCTTTACTATCCCTTTAAAGGTTTTATTAAGATTTAATTAACTTGACTAAACATAAAGTAACATTGCCAATACTGCCTATGGGGGGGGCAGGTAAGGCCAAGTAAAAATAACATTTCTCATAGTGGACATGAAATTTTGTTAAAAGTCTGAAAAATACTTTATAAATCACACATATATCTTTTGGGTTTTAAGTTTTACTTGCAGAAAATGCTAAATCTCCAATCCCATCTAAGACAGTCACAATTCTATTTTGAAGACACTGACAAGAAAAAGATATTTATCCTGAGTGATTTGGACTGTGCATCTAGTCCTCAGATGTGGGTAGTATAGGTGTTCGCTCTTTTGTTTGTGTCTTAAAAATGCTGAAACCTTTGCCACAGACAGATATGCTACTAATTTCTATGCACATATAGAAATATTTTTAAATGAAATGCCAAAAGACAAAAATTTAAGAATGTCTGTAAAATCGCACATCCACTTAAGGTACTTGAATGAATGCCTTTTTTTTTTTTTAATTTTTGGAAAGTAGGACCATCCTCAAGATATGGGTATTCACTGATAACTCACAGTGACTTACATAAGACATGGGATCTAAAGAGTTTTGTATTCTTTTTTTAAAACCCATCTAGTCTGAAGAAAATAATCACAGTATCTCCTTAGAAGGAAAGAGCAGACTTTTTATTACCAAAACATTGCTGCACATTGTAATGTTTTGACTCTCTAGGAAGTGGGCTTTTCCAAAAGAAATGAACATAGGTAACCCAAACAAAATCAGTATTTCTGTATTTCAGTAATCAAGATATAAAATGCAATTAAAGGAAAACATTTTACATAAAGATCTTGGCTGTGTGTTCTTTTTAACAAGTAGTCTGGGGAAGAAATTACCAGTGATTTGTTTTTATTTTGAATTCTCAAGTCATCACATATAATCAATATAAAAGTAGAATTGTGAACACACTTGTGGTTTGGGTATGTAGTGTCCCTCCAGCAGGCTCATATGTTGACAGCTTGGTCCCCAGTTGGTGACACTAGTAAGAGGGAACTGGATCATGAGAGCTGTCATCTCTGCAGTTAATTAGTCCATTTGTGTTCTCTAATTCATTATTGTCTTCATAGTTGAATGGGCTTTTAGGAGGTGGTCCTAGTTGAGAAAATGGGTCCCTAGGAATGTGGCTTTGACAGATACATTGTGTCCCTGCACCCCTACTCTTGCTCTTGATCTGTTTTCAGACCACCATTGGGTAAGCAGTCTCCTTGCCACTTGCTATGGTAGCCATAATGTTCTGGCTCACTCCAGGCCCTTAACAGCTGAGCCAGTCGACCATGGAGTGAAGCCACTTAGCTCAAATAAAATATTTTGTCCTTTAGCTGGTCCTCTTAGGTCTTTTGTTATAACAATGAAAAGATAACATAGCATGAATTCCCCAAATCTCTCTCTTCCATTCTATATTACAGCAATATATTTTGGCATCTCTCGTATCATTCATATTCATTTATCCTGAAATTAATGCTACATATTAGAAATTCTTACATAATACTTCAAAACAAAGGATACAGTCTTCATTTACACTAACATAAACATCAATTTCACAATGTATTATCATTTATTGGTGACTCTTCAATGATTTATTGGCAGTAAGACCCAATATGAGTTATTCAGGAATTAAAAACCAGGCCAAATGAAGAGGAGAGAAAGAAAACATCACCCCCTACCTAAGGACCAGTGACTGATTGTCCAGAACATCTTCAAATGAAGAGTAATCCTGACACAGACCTGAATGTACTGTTTTTTCAGAAGGGACACTATCAGTGAGGGTCCAAAGGAAATAGGTGACAGGCAGATTAGATGTATATAAGGAGTGCTCTAGATGAATTTTTTACAAAGGTGCAAGCGGGGGGTGTGGAAACCACAAGTCCTGCCATAATTGGTACCAACAGGTTCCCACTAGGGTCCCTAGTCCTGAGTGAATGAGAAGAGGAAGTAGTTATAAGAACCAAGAGATGGAAAAGACTATGGGAAAGAGGGCCACCTCTAGGGAACTAAGATCACTGGTGGAAACCAACCAGAAGCAAGCTTCAGGGGAATAAATACCCCTACCCACTCCCTCCCTAACCCCAGTTCCAAACTCGTATGGCTCTTCATCGGTCAAACCAGAGGACAAGAACACCTGTGACCTGAACCCTGCAAAGCAGCACCCAGACATGAATCCAGGAAGAAAGAGTGGAGAGTGGACCTGGAGGGCTCAGCGGGATGGCTCCAGCACAGCCATGCTGGATCCAAATGTTGATTGTGCAGTGTGCTTTACTCTTCCATCTTGCAACACACTAGTGATAAATGACATGTCACACCCAGAGCTTTGCATGGTGCAGGGCTGAAGCACAAAATGTAAAATGAGAAGACCCTTTGGTTCTCTGTGACAGGGAACTGGGCACTTGGTTTACACTGCAGGGTATCACCCGTCAACAAAACCCATGGTAGCAGCAGACATTGAAGAAACAAACTTTGCACAGATAAGGTCAAATGTAATGAACTGAAAGTTTCTTTAGTGGGAGTCAAAACAACCATTTTTAGTTTGGAAATATTCAAATTGAACAGCATTTTGGTGATTATAAATCACAGGACTTGGCAAGAAAGTTTGTCACAGCAGTTGCAGCTTTTCGTTTTGAAGCCATATTCTAATTTTATCAAAATTCTTATCCATCCAGCGTATATTTTCCTCAATGGTCTCGATGGTTTGTTGAACACAACGGAGTTGAGAACCATTTTCTTTCAAAGAGCTGAAAAATCCTTTTACCTTGGGAGGAAAAGATGGATTTTTTGCAACATTAATTTTGTTACATTAAGCAAATGGTAACCTAAGGCCAGCTACAAGAAAACTAAAGCCAGAATTCCAGCATTTGCCAAATTCTACATAGAAAGCAGCCCCAGGTGTCTGGGTCTGATTATGTATAACTTGAGCTTCAGCTATATGAAATGAGCTCATGCCCCATGATGTCAGGGTCGTGTTTTTCTTTGTAGCTCTTTTATTTATTCACAGTTGTCAGGCTTTAAAAGGCTTTGCTGTTTACCATTTCATAATTAAGGTTTAATTGAGTGTGTCTAGTTAATGTGGATTCTGTTATATACACACAGATGCAGACTCGAGTTTTTAAACATGTGATCTGAAAAGAACGTGCCGAGTATCTTCTTTGCCAAGCAAAACAGTATCAACCACATGAATGCAGTCTTTCTCCCTGTGTTATTATAGCAGCACTGTAGGGAATGGGGTTCTTAGCAAGGTATAGTGGTAAGACACAAAACCTTGCCAATATTTTGTCCTAATCCACAATTCCTGTATTATTCCCTCAAGATAAAATCAACATGGTTTCCCATGGCTTTAGGGAGATAAGGTACTCTTGGCTCTGTGCTCAAAAAAATCTTTGTTCCTGTTTCATCTCCAAGTATCTGAACTGCTTAAGCTCACATGAGGAACAGGCTGGCTTTGCCACAGCACTGAAAATTGTACTATTGTCTTAAAGCATTTTTAAACTTACCCATAAATTTTCACAGTATTAATCCATCAATTTTTTCTTTTGTAGTCAGGAAGCAAGTATAGGCCAAGATGTATTTTTTGTTTAGCATGAATTCCAGACAGCTAATTCCTCAAAAATCCATATCATAATACCATATTAAGAGTTTGAGAATAACAGATGGAGGTAAAAACAGGTTACAGAAAGATCAAGTTCCAGTGTGAAATGATGCAGAGTTGTTCTAAAATTACAACTGAATCAAGTTTCTCATGGCCTCTTGCTGAAGGGAATGGAGGAAACACTTCCTCCTCTCCTGCCCTGCCCATGCTGCCTCTCAGTCTACTGCTGCAGGACCCAAGATTGATCCCTCATCAATTAAAAATCTCTTTGGGCACTCTTCAACAAACAGACATCAATGATTTGACTAATTGGCTAAAATACTCGATGCATCCTGAAAGAGCCCATCATCACGGAGTCACTGAAATGAAGACTTCTACACAGGCTATAACAAAGCCAGCTCCTAACCCTTTTCCTGACCCAAAACTGTCTCTTCTTTCCTCCTCTGTCCATATCTCAACTGAATACTTGATTCAAACTTGCCTTTCTGAGAACATATGCCATGCAATGGGCAGTTTATGATTGGAAGAAATTTTGCTTTTGTAGAATATGTATGTCTCATGTTCCCTCTCACCAGACAATGGGAGTGTTTTATGCCAATTTCTTATGTTTACCTGACCACTGGAAAGCTCTGTGATGACTTCTGGGAACCACTGCCATAATTATCCTCAGTATAGGCCCCTCATATAGTTATCTCCTGTCTATTATACTGATTTCTATTCTTTAGCATTTATTTTACAGATGGATTTTTACAGTTGCCTAAAATCCTTTGGAAAGTATGGTATATATGAGTAAGGGGAGAAATGTGACTTTGGCAATGAAGCACCTGGACCCCATAGCTCTTCCACAGTAGCTGGGTTACCACATCAGACATCTGTATCTCCAGTAATCATTTTTAATATCCTTTAAAAAGGACCAATTGTGTCAGTTTTTTTGAGTTCAAGGTTTTAAATTGCAGAGCAAATACATCTTAGCCTATCTCAGAAGAGGCATACAGTTTCCACTAAGTTATTTGTGACTGATTTTTGCTTATGTCAATACCATGAACTCAAAAAGCATTTGCAGATAACAAAATCCATTCCCGACACACCACATCTTTTGTTCCTTCCCCATATTTAGTAGTTAATAGTCACTTAAAAGAATTTCTTCTATACCTAAGGCTCAGGGAACATTGCAGAAGAGGGCACAGAAACATTGTAAGAGCCAGGGGTCAAGACAACTGCTACCAGATAATGTGTTCAGGCATGACAGGGAAGCTGCACCATGAAACCTCCACAGCATGGTAGTCTAACAAGACCTGCATAATGACAAAACCAGTTGACAATGCCAAGATGGATAGATACATTTCACAGGGTCCCACCTCAGTATGAAGTGCAAATACAATATTCATGTATGAAATTCTCAAAAATAAAACAAATTATATGAAAATAGGTAATAGAAAATTTAAAATATAAATCTCTCTCTCTCTCTCTCTCTCTCTCTCTCTCTCTCTCTCTCTTTACCTCTTCAAGCCGTGCTTTGGTAGAAAACTGATTTGTTGTTCCCATTACCATGTGAGCTAAGGAAGCTGAGCCAAGGTCAAACCTAGAAAATATCAAAAGGATTCATTCAATATACATTTAAAATATCTTATGTGTGCTATAACATTTAAACAATCTAGTTGTAAAACATAATCCGTACCAACAACTGACTAAAACATTAAGAACCCAAAAAGAAAGGATAGCTGCAGGCAGGCAGTGCTGCAAGACTTGGGCAAAGGCAGATGCAAAGAACAATATATGAAATCCTGTGGACAGGCTCGGGGGGCGGGGTGCAGATAGAAGAGGGGTTCTAAATTTGATTAAGATGCTTTGTATGAAATTCATGAAAAATTCAACAAAAAGATACATTGAAAAAAATAAATGTAAAATAAAATTTGAAATAGCAGGAGCACTGAGGGAAAAGCTGAGCTGGCCCTGAAGGAGAAAAGCTTCAAACAAGCCAGAGAGGCAGGAAGGAGCAGCCCGAATGCATAGCATTACTATCCAGATCCATGAGTTAGCCGTGGACTAAGGTTTTAAATCTTTAATGATATTCTAATTTAAAGAATTATCTTCAATTTAAGATGTCTCTTCATTCCATTGTGATACAAACAGCAAAGGTAAAACACAGGTAAAAGAGCTCATCCAGGCCCCGCATATCTTCCAGTACTACTTACTTTTGTACAATTTTATTCCAATTTTCTCTCAGAAACTTCCAGGCCAATGGATAGCCCACTGGGTTTCTGCCAATGAATGTAAGAATATGTGGAAACTCCTGAGTTTTTATTATCTCCCCCCTAAAACTTTGGTCTAGTAGCCTATAACAATTAAGAAAAGAAATGTTAGTAATGAATTATAAGTAATGGAAGTGTTACCAAAAGCTTCAATACTTACAAAAGAAAAATTCTGGTTGCTAATAATGAAGGTCAAAAAGGTAAATTAGTAACCAGAGTCCTGAAAAACTCATTATAGCTGCATAATTATTTTTTTATTAAAAAAATATTTTATTTATTATTTTTATGTGTATGAGTGTATTACCTGCATGTATGTGAGTGCACCCATGTTGTGCAATGCATCGGAGCTGCATAATTATTTAAAACTAACTTTTATATACTGTTTATAATACCTAGTCTCATATATTCTCTCATTTTTTCAAAAGAACAGCTAAAAATCTCTGTAATAAATATTTCAAGTATGCTATTGCTTTAAAGACACACAGCACATACTCGTTTAACTATTTCCCCTAACAGTTGGTTCTAATTATTTGGCACTGTCATTAGGTGTGTGCCCACTTTGCACAGTGTTCCCAGAAGAATAGACAATTCCTGGCCAAGAGAACCAAAATAAGTGCCAGAATGCTCTGTTCTAATTTCACTGCCCTCAGCTACATGGACATCAATGACTGACTCACCACTGAAGCTTCTCCTGATCTTGGCTCGTAGAGAGGGCAAATTCAATTTGGCCTTTCTCCGTACTGAACAAAGAAGACTGATATTTATTATAAAGAAAATCCCAACCTTCAGTGCTCTGGGCCCCTACAGCAAACACTGCCAAGGTCACATCGCGAGGGAGGCTGTGGGAAAAAACACACTCATTAGATCTTAGGATGTAGTGAGAACTCTTAGATACATAACAATGGCCAATTATGAACAGAGAAGCACAGCAGGAAACATAAACAAAAATTGCTGCTTCCCTCTCTTACAGTTTGTGAAGACAGCAAGAGAAAAATGTCTAAAACTAGCTTTCAGGGAGCCTCAGATACATAATGAGAAATGTCACTCATAAATACCTACATATCTAATGTATTTTTTAAAATTCTGAGTGACTCCCTCAGTAGGCTCATTTCAGGTAAAAAGAAATTCAACTGAGACAAAATTTATTTCAGGAAGACAAGTCCGGAAGCTCACAGGCTCACAATCAGTAAACATTTCTTTAAGGAAGTGTGCATAAATGCTTGCCATAAATGATTCCTGGGTGCCATTAAGTTCCAAGTACAAACTGACTGAAGCAAGGAAGGAGTCAAGATGTCCAGATATATGGAGCCTGCCTTGGGAGGCAGTGCTAACAATTAGTAGGTACTCCTAGAAGAGGTTTAGGAGATCTAAAGAAGCTCCTGTAAAATGCATTGCCTCCTTTTCAGTCTGGCATGGCTGTATCAGCTCAGTCATTTTATAATGGGCTATACAAAGAAGAAATTACTGTAATCTGGTTCTAACTTCCCTGATATTTGACTTTCAGGTACAGAGATTCTCTCACAGCATGTCTTAAAACAGAAAGTTGAGAAATATATAGATAAATCTTGAAAAGCAAGTTGTTTTCCCAAAAGTAGGAAAATCTGGTCTATCCAGCTTTCCCCACTGGGCCATACCAATGATGGGCAACAGGAAGGATACCCTTTATGTTGATAAACTGGTTATTCAGTAGGGACTGACCTCAGATTTCCATTGGACTCCTTCCACTTTCTGAAATAGCCTTCTGCCGTCTGCACACAGGGCTGATACTTGCGCACACAGGCAAGAAGGAGGAGCTGGCTCCTAAGCATTCTCTCTGAGATGGAGCCCTCATCTGTCCATGTCTGCTTATCAATAAGGCCCCTCAGCAGCCTGAGGAGGAAGGTCTGGGGAATAGTAAAGAAGATAGTGGCATATAATGAATAAGCACTACCATAGATCACGTCATATTCATATTCACCATCTAGTACTCAGGTGATAAGAAATGTTACAAATGTCTACCTATTGAAATGCATTTTAATAATGTTAGGTGACTCCCAACGTGGTACCAGGTCAGATAAACAGAAATTCAGATAAGACTGACCTATAGAGCTTAATCCAACTCCTTTTAAACCTTAAAGCTCTGTTTATATTTTATTATAAAAGGGCTAAAACCAAAAAAATAATGATTTTAGTATTAACACAGTCAGCTTTTCTAAAGCTGTCTACTTAAAATCAGGATGAACTGCCACTCATATAGTTATGACTAAATTTTATGAGCAACATGTATAAATTTTCATGACATTTTATAAAAAATATCAATTTTATCCCTCTTATTCAAGTACCAATCAGAGTCCCAGAAAATATTAATATTAGCCATCATAATAGAGAAGCAAAATGAAATAAAAGATCTGTAAAGGGAAAAATCTATGAAAACTAAGTACAGAATCTAACACCATCATTTCCATTTTAGTATCAATTAAAACCAAAACCTTTGCTAGTCAATCCATATTGAATTTTATTTACTTTTCCTTAATGTATAGGAATACAAGTGCATATTTGTATGTGTAAATATATGCACACACATAATAGTAAACACTTTTTATCCATGAGAAAAAATACAATTATATATTTATTTTACTTATCTCAGGCTTTTACCTTGAACTGAGTTTCCACCTCATTCATATCTCTTTTCTCCATTAACTTATACATGGGTACCAGTTCATTCAATCCTTGGAACACAGGCATAATTTCAGTTTCATTTTTCAAGTACAGGATTAAATCCAAGGCTTTTTCAATCGAGAGCCTTCCAATGCTGAGCAAGAGAGATCATCGTTACAGGTTTATAAGAAATAACCTCTTTTTACTTCAACATATAATAATCTTCTAGCAAAGCAGTCAATCAGATATTAAAAATGACTTTTACATTCAAATATTTTCTGTTTCTCGTAAGATCTGGCAAGATTACACATGGGAAGAAGATTCTCAGTAATGGAGCAAAGGCTAGCTTATGGTTAAGATGGAGTGGCATATGTTAGTGTCATCTGATACACTAGGTTGTGTTTTGAACTTTCAGAGTAAGATGAGGATTTACCCAAGATCCTCAGGCAGACAGACCAATGAGATTGCCTCTCAGCAAAAGTGAATTCCTGGCATAAACATCTCTGTTAAGACACTGGATATACATAGAAACCCTTCATGGCTGTCATGGCTAATAGTAAAAGCCTCAGTGGTAGGATGTATGCTCACATCAGTAAACACAAATCCTTCTAAGATTCAAACAGCAATAGGTCATGAAGAGGAATTTTGGTGCAGGAAGAAACAGCTAGATAAGCAACCTGTAACTTCTCCCCATTATCTCTGTCACCTCACTGCGGTGGCAGAAGAACCAGAAAGAAGTACTCTGCATCTAAGGTAGAAGAACTTGGGCGTGAGAATTACAAAGCTACCCCTGTCTACCCAGACGCCCCCACTCAGGACCTAGTTGTGCCTAAACATCGAAAGACTTTGAGTTTTAGGCTTGGAAAATATTTCCGTACTCAATCATTCAAAGATCATTTGGTTGGGCCAAATTTTATAAATTATATTCCATAAAGATACCGGGAAGTCTAATCAGCCAATCTAGAGGAGGTCTGGTGGAGGGGGGAAGGGTTAGTATGTGGATGGGGGAGGAGGTCTTGATTAAGAACTGTTGTATGAAATGTACAAAAGCTCAATTAAAAAAAAGAAAAAAAAAAGAAAGATACTGGGCTGAAGAGATGGCGAAAGCTGGTGTTCTAGATCCTACTGCCAGCGTATAAAGACATCAGTCTCACAGTGGGGAGCAACCAGCACTGTGGTCTCTGCCAGCACCCACATGGTGGCTATGAACCATCCTTAACTCCAGTTCAGGGGAATATGACACCCTCTTCTGACCTCAGTGGCATTGCACGACATGGGTGCACTTACATACATGCAGGCAATATACTCATACACATAAAATAAAAATAATAAAATTTTTTTAAAAAGATACTGTGAAGTTCAGTTATCTTTTATGCATCGCTCTTTTAGCACAATGGATGTAATGTGAACAATTGGGCCTGTTACTTAATCTCCTAAGAAGGTTCTAAGAGGGTTATAGATCCAGCATGGGAGAAACCCCATCGGCTATAGCAGAGCGAGGACACCGCAGGCTCACTAGGACACTGTCTCTGGGTTTTCTGCACACTTGCCTCAGCCCAGTTTGAGTTGCTAATGAGAAAGAGTAAAATATAGATTCTATATTTCATATTACTTTGCAGTGAAAGACAACAGGTGAAGCATCAGGCTGAAAGCAATGTTGCACTGTTTGAAGAACTTAGGGGGAAATATCTTTCAACTTCTTATTAGCAATCAATCCATCACTTTCATCTCCAGAAATCAAGTATTTGAACAGTAACAGCTGCTTTCAAAAATAAACCACAACTTTGCACAGCCTGTATTACCTGACAAGCTGAAACGCATTGTTGATGAGACTCGCCCGATCATTACTGCTGACTGCTGTGTGTGCTCTTTTTAAAAGGTCAGTCAAAGAATCCCATCCATCTCCCTCGTAATGCACGATATAATAGCCATTCATTCCCACGTTAAATTTGATCCACTCCGCTGCTTCTGGGAGGATGAGCACATCTAGAGCAAATAGAATAAATCATAGCTCCATTTGCTCTCTGGACAGATGAAAGCTTTTCTGATCAGAGGCTACACAAGGAAAATAGGGAAGACTTCAGTATGAACAAATGGAAATAATTTATTTCCTGTAGAAACCAGACAGCAGCAACCTAATACACAAAAGCCAACAGTAGCTTTAGACACTAAAAACAATGCAACCCCATTTATGTCATACGAGAATATTCCCCAGGAATGATAACAAACTAATGATAATTTTCACTGTTAATCTCTCCTATTTAGTATCACAGAATTCTAATGTTTGAACTTCTGTCATTATATTGCCTTTTGAAAAATCAAAGTGTGTGTGTGTGTACACATGTATATGCATGTCTGTGGAGGCCAGAAGAAAATATTTTTGTTCCTTGGATTCTGACCATTTTTGTGAGGGAAAGATGGTGAGACAGGATGACTTGCCATTTAGCACCTGCCAATCTTCACCTTCCTAGCACCAAGATTATAAGCCTGCAGCACAACACTAGGCTTCTTTTTTAGTGTCAGTTCTGGGAATCAAGACTTCATGCTTACAAGACAAATACTTTACAAATGAGATGAGTCCAGGCAGTATTTTCAACCCAGTCCCTTTCATTTTAACCAAAATAAACAGCAAAAGGAGCTTGGTATTTAAGTCCTTACCATTTCTATACCTCTTCCAGGAATTAAACTAGTTATTTCCAAAATAAATTACCTGTCTTTGTCTTCAGCAAAAATCTCTGGACTGAGTTTGATTTGCTGGTAATAAATGTCAGTGGAACATGCCACAGGTACCTGAAAGAAAGGAGATATGCACTGTTCATTTTTTCATTCATTCAACAAGCAGCTATTAAGACACCACCCATCAAGTGCCAGGCACTGGCTAGTTTAAAGCAGAGTGGCATTGAGACCACAGCCAATATCTGAGATCACATCGAGCCTGTTTTCCAGCTCAGCTACTATTCATCCTTCTTAGATTCCTGGTGTAGAACTAGGAATCTGGGCTCCAGTGAGAAATGACTGGTGGCCTGAGTTCTAACTCTAAACAATGACCACTAGCAATGGCACAAGCTAGTAGTATGTCTTTCCTTAATCATGTACTGAGGAGACACATGCCGCTTCTACAGAGTTCCTCCCACGATGCACAACCTAAATCTGATCAAGAAGAAATGGTCAAACATAAATTGAAGAATATTGTATCAAAGGAACTATCCTAAACTCACAAATGTCAAGTAACACAAAGATTAAAGAATTGCTGCAGAAAAGATGAAACCAAAATGGTGTGGCAGTTCGGTATGATATGTGACATGATAATGAATTCCAAATAGAAAATTTTGTTTTAATATAAGGATATTTTTAAGAAAATTAGGAAAGTTGAATAGGCTTTAGAGGTTACATAATGGTACTGTATCAAATTTATTTCCTAATTTGATAATTGCACTTGATAATATAAATGAAATCGTAGAATGTTTTCTTAGAAAAGGAGTAAATGTGATAACATGCCTGAGTGCTCAGTGCATAATGTGTGATCTATTACATATAATACATACACACTGCCGACATATATGTAGGTTATATATTATGTAAACATGTTTTCTTTATACACACACCCAGAAAAATAAAGCAAGTGTGATAAAGAGTTAACATAGCTGGGTAAAGCATACATGGAAATTCTTTTTAGTATTCTTGAAATGTCCTAGTAAGTCTGAAATTGCTTCAAGATAAAGCAAAAATTTTTACAGTGTCCATCCTGAGTAGTCTATTTTCAACATCTAATTTTTAATAATACTCTTCTGGAACACTAAGCTGACAGTTTCCAGGACCTAACTCAGTCTTCCAAAGAACAGAATTGAGTCTCTCTTACTTCCCAGAAATCACATAAATTCTTCTGTCAACTCCAACCTAAATGCCATGCACTACTGTAATTTAGTAGCAGCTGCTTAGATCAGAGTTGACTTCAAGCCAGTGACTAGAAATTGCATCCTATTAAATGACAAAACATGAGAACATAAAAATAATTCTAGATCACCAGTTCTACTGAGATTAACCAAGATTTGAAGCCCCTTTAATCCTTTAGGGAAGGTCAACAGCACAGGGCATACAGGTTCTGTTGAAACATTCTAAGGTAGAAGTGAGGGCACAGTTTCAAAAGGGAGGTTTTATCCTACCAGGCAGATGTTTTACACTGAGAACATTACCCAGTCTCCAGGGCACTGTCAGACCCCTTCATATAATGTTCTTGCTTCATGTGCACATTCCGTCCTCTCATGGAGATGGTTATCAGGGGAAAGCCCTTCTGTAGCGTCCACGTGTTCATCATGGTTTTCACATCCACGCCTTCCTGATGCCAGTGCTGGTTTACACACAAAAAGGGAAATGCATCACCTAAGAGTCTCTTCTGAGAGGAGAGGAGGACCAGCTTGTTCTCACAAGGCCACTGCTGTTGCCAGCCACCTCTCTTCTGCAGTCTCATGCCCTGGTTCCCTTCCCCTTTGTCCACAGCCACTGAACCTTGACTGTTTACCTTTCAGTCACCTCCTCTAAACCTGCGTCTTGACAGGTAGAAAATTTGCTCTGCATGGCACAGCTAAAGGCCAGGCATACCCTACTGGGCACCCAAGCAGGCATGTAAGCAAGTGAATGAGAAGAAGGGAGAGAAGGTGGCCAAGTTTTCAACACCTACATGACTGTGCTGGCCCTCAGCCACGCAAGGTGGGGGAAGGTGCTCTGTGAAGAGGCTTTTCTGATAAAGTGACAACAGAGACCTAATGAACAGTTCTAAACTCAAAAGAGGATCAGTTCCTTGATACTAAAAAAAAGCATTCAGGAAAAGATTTGAGAGTTAGTAAAAGGATAAAATAATCTACTGAATAAAGAAGAAACTACTGGATAAATCAATCGCTAAAACAAAAATAGCTAAGGAAATAAAAAAGCAAAGTAGATAAAATTCGGTTGAATTTCCAGAATCACCCATAGCTGTCTATGAAAATATTCCATAAGCCCAGATTAAACAGACTCAGTCTATTTTGTGGCTCAGATGGTATGAATACTTTACAGCTGAACAGCTGAAAACATGAGTTGAAACTAAATTCAACTTTCTACCCTGCAAGTTACCACCATATACTCTTGCATTTCACATTTCCATAACTTCATGTAAAATCTGGGGTGGTAACAGTACCTGGACCACAGGTCTGTTGACACGAGTAAAGGAGATAATATACCCGAGTGCTCAGAATGCACTTGATAACATATTAAGTGTTCCAGAGTGTTCACCACCATTGTGTGAATTTTTCATAAATGCAGAGTCTAGAAATGACTAACATGTCCCGTTTACTAATAAAATGAATACTTAATCTGCCATAGAGCCTTATTATAAGGTCACTGCTTTAGGGAGAGTGATGTGAAAGGAATTAGTGTCTGTGAGAAGATTTTGTCACAGAAGGTTATGCCACACCCTCCTGCACAGATAATTCCTAAGAAAAAGTGTAAAAGACTGTGATTCTGATTTACTTTGAATACAGACTTTGCTGGAATGCAGGTGAGGTAGTCGAGGACCTCAGGAAGCCTGGCACAGAGCTGCCCCTTAAGGAATATGGAGTAAAAGAACACACTTGAGGGAACAGGTGCAGAGAGACTTACTGAGGCTGAAGATGAGCGTTGGCTTCTAGAGCAAAAGCCATCCACTGTTTGCGCGCCATCTGTGGGGCAAATCTAAAACCAAATATAAAACATAACCCTCATTTCAGTAAAAAGAACTCATGATTCTTCTCGAAGGGAGCACCATGATACAGTAAGTGAACAAAACAAGGTAGAAGCCAGTCAATCCCAAATCAGAGACGCTGGAACAGCACTCACACTTGCCATGCTGTCCCACAGGTCATCATTCTTCGTGTTTCTATAGCTATACTTATTGAGATACTTCACAATTCCACTTTTAAACGCATCTGCACTCAGATAATCTCTCAGCATATTCAGAATGCAAGCCCCCTGGAAAGACAAGAGGAATAACTGCTATCTACTGTTTGGTTGCACATTTTATTTTACTGCCGCTGCATCTAGTTTTTCAAGATTTTCAGTAAAAGAAAGAGCAAAGAATTAACCAAAATGTAATCTTTAGTATTATAAGCCAAAGTATAAATTCAACCTGAAAGAGTTTGAATCAACCAGCAGGGACAGGACCCAAAGCATTCAACTTGGGGTGTCCCTAAGGGAGGGAAAGCTACCCCATAATCTTAGCTATCACATCTCTACCACGATACTAATAAGCTTAGTAACCAAAATATAGCTCTGCAATGGACTTTTACCTTATCATAAGAGACATCATCAAACATCTCCCGAATCTGAGCAGGATTCTCCACAGGTGTGGACACAGGGTGTGAAGAATTCAGTGCATCCACCTCCATTGCATCAAAACATTTGCCAAAGAAATATTCCTCCTATTGAAACAGAAATCAGAAAGAAAGAAAAAAAAAGAAGCATGCTTCTAACCTACATTAAGAAAAAAATATGAAAGGAGAAAGGTTTGGTCTGGAGTAATATGACCACATTTCCAATTTCTCTGTGAACTGAATACATATTTCTAGTATTTATGAACTAAAATAGTATTATTATGCTTTCTAAATAGCATCCAAAAACTGATATTAGGTAAGCAGTTTAGATTTTACTTATCTTGAGTTTTATTTTATAATGAATTTTGCAGTACTCTAAAACAAGACCACTTGTAGCCAAACAATAGGAAAATAAAATGTATAGTGATTTCAACATTTCCACCATCAAAGCAGACACATTTAACTTTATGATGATCCAGTTAAAGAAAATAAAGAACAAATTCCAACCGTGATTTTCTTTACTTGGCACAGTAAGCTGTTGAATAATATGCATCCATAATCTTTATTGTTAAAGATTATGTAGAAACAAGACATATTTATGATGTGTGGCAATATAATATAAACCCTAAAAGTATTTATAAATAAATTATGGGTATAGACAAATAAAAACGGGAACTAATTACCCATAAATGGAAAATATTATACTAAGGTAAAGCATTGCTTTTTTATGTAATATAAATTCAAGTTTTCTGTTTGTGATTTTTCTCAAGGCTAGCATAAGAAATTTAAACAAACATACAAGTTCTAAAAAATTAAATTTGTGACCTAAGTCTAAGTTGTTAATGAAATATGCAGTTATTTCAGTCATAATTCACACAACTTATCAGTTTGGATTTTACTGTGATAATAACAATACGTACCTAATATTTAAATATGCAACAAGCAACTTGAAACTTAAGAAAATGGCACAGAACATTCAAGCTATCATCAGTTCTGTTTCTTTAATGGTAAGGGAAGATAAAATTAAATACTTAATTTCATGGCAATCATAGATTCACACTTGAATGAGTAAGTTTTTAATGATTTTTTTAAAAACTTTTATTTATTATTTTAATTTTATGTGTATGAGTGTATTGTCTGCATGTATGTAAGTGAATCAGTGTCATGCAGGCCCGCAGAGGTCAGAAGAGGGCGTGGGATCACCTAGAACAGGAGTTACAAGCAGTTATTAGCTGCCATATGGGTGCTGGGACTCAAAACCTGGTCCTCTGCAAGAGCAGCCAGTGCTCTCAACCACTGTGCCATCTCTCCAGCCCCTATGATAAGTCTCAAAAGTTCACTTAGCATTTTTTAATGATTCATCTCAAAGTTTCCAATGAAGTTATCAATGAAATATTTCTATAGATTCTATAATCAAAGATTGCTAAATATTTTCCAGTAAAATTGAACCAAGGAACAGATTAACCTAAAAGTAAAAACAGAAATAACCACATACAACTTTTAGTTCAGGATGGGTCACACTGACAGAGACAAACTCCATAAACTTGGCAAATCCTTCATTGAGCCAAAGATCATTCCACCATTCCATGGTGACCAGGTTCCCGAACCACTGAAAGGAAAACATGACTATTTATTCACAGATTTCTAGGGAAACTGTGTTATCTACCATCTATAATGGCAGACAAAGGCACAACACATTCAGAAAGAAATATGTAGTGACTATCATAAATGTGAACGTATGTTTATTTATACAATCAATATTTTACCAAAGTAAGCCTGAAAACTTTTCAATATGCATTGTAAAACTTGAAACAATGCTTTAAGGAAATAATTTTCCTATGAAAAGACAAAGTGAAAACAATAAATATGTGAACAGCCTCATTTATCCCAAACAAGACATGAACATTTAACCATACTGAGACTCGTTCTTCTTTGAGGGTGTGGCCACTTACATAAGCACAGCACTAACTAGACTTTAGACTTAGTGAGTTGTCAAAATAATAAGATGTGAAGTTGGGAAAGGAAATGCATGGGTTGGGCTCGAGGGGAGATGGAGGGGGAAATGGGGAGTGGAAAATATGATCTTATTTCATTATATGCATATATGAAATTCTCAAAGAATAAAGAAGAGACTAAACTTTCATACCTGGTGGGCAAGTTCGTGGGACACAGTCATTGTGATGCCAAGCTTACTAGATGCAGAAGACTTTTCTGCATCAAATAGCAGAGCAGATTCCCTGTATGTGGTCAGGCCCCAGTTCTCCATAGCACCAGACTGAAAGTCAGGAATTGCAGCAAGATCTAGCATGCAAAGTGATACAGCTTATTACCAATCTCAGAGTTACACACTCCGAAGCACACTGAACATCAGAATGGATGGGTGTTAGGATGAAACAAAAGCTAAGCCACGCATACAGAATTAGGGAGCACCAGAGGCAAAGACGCTTTTCTAATGGAGAAAGAGGCTCAGTGACTCAGTCATTTTGCTGCCAATGTGACCAAGTCAGACTTGGGTCTCAGGCCTCTTGAGTATATCTCTTCCATTCTTTCTTTTTTCTTTTCATCTTATTTTGAAGTTCTGGGAATTGAACCTACGTCTTGTGCAAGCTAGACAAGTGCTGTACCACGGAGATACATCTCATTCCTATTTTTACTCTTTAGTTTGAGACAGCATCTCACTTGAACTTGCTCTGTAGCCCAAGCAGGTCTTGAATTTTAATCTTCCTGCCTCGGTCTCCCAAGTACCTGGGAGTTTAGACCTGAGCCTCCAGGTTTAGCTCTATCTCTAATTTTCAGACTATGTATTCTGGGACTGAACAATAAAAAAAAATTACCTCAGTAATCCACTTTATTTTGCATATCTAAAGCCTACATATACCTAGAAATCCAAATACCCAATAGTGTTAAGGAATCTTATAAATTCTGCATTTTATTAGAATCTGTAAATGTATTCATTCAGAGGTTTATTGAGCACCCTCTATGTTCCTGCTAACTACACAATAATAACGAAAACAAAAAATGTGCCCGTTGCACTCCGTCATCTACTACTGCTAATATCAGAATGCAAAGTCATCTCCAGGCCATATGCATCATGATCTGCCTTCACCATTAGAAGTTAATTGTGTAAATCAAAGGTGAGGAGACACTCAGAAAGGTCAGCTTGTTGTGTGAATGGCACTGGGAATTTTATGGCATGAGGGGCAATGTGGATGTACAGCCTTGTGGATGTACCCATTGTAAGAATATTATGTATGACTGGGGTCTTTAAATGCCACCTTGTAATATCCTCAATATCTCTACCTTGTTTAGGTAAAGGATAGGGAATGCTGAAGTAATCCTCGTAAAATTCTAGAAGAGTCACTGCGGCATCCAGAGCATAATCTGCTTGATTTATCTTGTCTGGCACAGCATACACAGAGACCTAAAGAGAAAGGCACAGGAGGATATTCACATAATTATAGTGGCTTCCCTCCAACCCCCCATAGCCCAAGAGAAAAATGGTATTACTGTTGTCTAACAGAGGATATGGTTGTCAACATTAAAGAACACAGGAAGCCCATGTCTTATTTTGATGCTGACTATTCTTAATCAACCTCATCTCTGAAAACAACTACAAAATGCTACAAATATATACCCAAAGCAGTCTTCTGAAATGTTTTCATACAGTGGTCATAAAGGAAGACTTAGAGGTCAATAGTGAGATTCTGTTGGCCCTAGGAAGTCAGCAGAGCATCACAGTCAGCTTTCCCTTTAGGTTCTAGCTGAACACAAGTGGACTAGAGCTCTGATTCTCCTGACACTGACAGACTCTGAGGACAAAAATCTAGGTCCTGGCCAAGACAGGACATCTATAGGAAGTCTAATAGGAGATATAAACCCTGAATAAAAACAGACCCCAAAGGCTACCACCTCCTTAGTGTACAGAAAAACTAGAAATAACTGACACTTCTTTCAAAGAAACTGCAAGTTTGAGAGGGAAGGAGGAAGGGAGGGGGGAGAGGAGAAAGGGAGAGAGAGAGAGAGAGAGAGAGAGAGAGAGAGAGAGAGAGAGAGAGAGAGAGAGAAGCTTTGCTCAAACATTGGTATTGCATAGAGGAGAATGGAGAAGTCTTAAAGAACCTATGGCTAGATATCCCTCATGGTCCTTAACAGCTAGAATTTCAATAACCAGACAATCCAAAATCTTGAAGCCAATAACCTCATTTAAAGCAATCCTTGGATTAGTAGCACTCTGTCATCCTTCAGGAACAAAAACAAATTTTCTGGAAGAATCCACGTTTGACTCAGGAATAACTTACATTAAGTACAAAGAAACAAGATATCAGGAACAAGCACCAGCGCAAACAAAATGCACAAAAACTTCAGGCATGACAGTGACCATGCCAGAATAGAAAGTGTATATATTTAATGTGTTTTAAGAATGAAAGGAAGAACTAAAAATGTCAGTAGGAGTTAGACATTATAAAAAGATCATGTGCAAAGGATTGAGGAAAATGTGTAAAACAGTGGACAGTGTTTTGCTGCTAATGTCACTGCTGAATTTAGAGTGCTCGCTTCACCTAAACCACTTATCCCCACAGCACTAGAAAAACAAAAGCAATTCAGCAGAGTGGCCTCAGAGACAGCATCACAAATATATACAACTATGAGTTGTGGCACATGCCTTTAGTCCCAGCACTCAGGAGGCAGAGGCAGACAGATCTCTGTGAGATAGAAACCAGCCTGGTTAGCATAGTGAGTTCTAGGCTAGTTGGGGCTGCAGGCAGACCCTGTCTCAAAAAGATTATAAAATATATAGTGATTTAAAGCCCCCTAAGAAACACCCATTTTCCTTCTAGACCATGAAATACTGCTGAAAGTTTGTCCACTGTCCAATGGCGCTGAGACCAGGGGTAAGTGATCCTTGAAACAAGAACTTTGATTCCAGTATTCTAACACTCCTTCTAACATTCTTCCCAACAGCACTTTGTACCCCAAGCCACAACCAGTAATATTGCCTTCAGCATTATAGAAAGTCATAGCCATATGCAAGCTTAAAACCCACATGAGATGACTCATGACTTAGACAAGGCCATGCTGCAAATTAAGTATCTGTGACAATATGGTCACTGGCTATCCTGATTTTCTTGAGACTGAGGGCGTCCCAGGATGCATGACTACCTGTTCAAAACCAGGAGCACCAGCACAGGTTGGTCACCTGTGAGTCAATCACAAGCTCACCTTGATTCCGCTCTTAGTCATCTTGCTGACAGACTTAAAGTCAGAAACAATGAAAGCGACCAAGTAGGTGCTCATCTTCACAGTGACATCAAACTGGTCTTCCATGAGTCCTTTGGCAACAGTCACAGATCTCACCTAATAGAGTACCTCATATTACCAAGAAGTCCATTAATCAATACACTGACACACATTGTAAAGAGAAATATCCCAAGTACCAGATATAATACTGGCAGAGCCTAGCATGACATTTCTATAACTGCTTTTAAAATTCCCTATAAGATATCTGAGTCTAATTTAGAAATTAAAGTCAGGCCATTTGACTCCATTTCTTTTTTATTGGGACATAATTCACATATGACAAAATTCATCTCTTTAAAGTATGCAACCCAGAAAACCTATTTACAAGACTTTGATAATAAAGCCCTTAAACATGTTCATGTTCCTATAAAATGTTTGTAATACATCAACACTTAAGTTCTTCTAAACAATCCAGATTATTTCAAACTGATTCATTTTTGTGTGTGTAGATTGACCTCATGGATGTCACAAGGCAAAGCTGAGATTGCTGATTTTGTTCATTTGTCATTACATCCAGATTTAATAATTATCTGAAAATACAATATCTGGTACACTCTACCTTGAGCAAATACATAATAAACAGAGCCTCAAAAGAACTTCAGTTTCTTCTATATATGGTTGAAAGCACCTTATGCCTGTGTCTGAGTTGCAAAACCTCTTGCAAACTCAGCTTTGCTTTATTGGAATCATCTGTTAAGTGCAATCAGGGTACAAGCAGCCTTAAAAAGGGGGTAGCATGTTTCAGGGTACAGTCTAAGAGTCTGCTTCTCTAATACCTCAGCAACAAGAAGCACTGAGGCAAGATCTTAGAACAAGAACCAACCCAGAGAAAACCTTACAAAAAGATGCTTCCCTACAATCCTATACCTGCCTCTACTTCTGTGTCGTCACCCAAAGACCCACCAGTCACTAGCAATGGGACTCTTTGGTCACTTTCTGATCATGCATATCAACCCTGCTAAATAACTTAGATTTACTCTTCAAGGACCTCAAACTATCTTTTCTGCTTAGGTGCCTTCTATATATGCCCAATCAAAATTTCCATTTTTCATATACCAATTAGTAGGAAAGTAGCCCCATTATACTAATCTAAATTAAAATATGATTAATTCCTACCCACTGCTTGAACTTTCAGTGTCCCAACAGCATACAAAATTTGAATTTCCAGCCTCCAAAACTATCCCATTGTTCTTCCTCCCAGCTCCACATCCATGTGGGAGGTCAGGCCACTCCTATTAGACTCTGCCAGTGGGAGGCTTTCCTGCCCAAGAAGCAAGATGGCACTAGAAACTTTCCTGCCCTCACAAGTGGGTCCTGGATACTCATAGACTGAGAGGCCATATCTTCCTGGTGTCTCCAGAGATCCTGGCTTGACACTCTGCAAGTCTATGAATTTCTCCACAAATCCTTCAGTGTTCTTTTACTCTCCTAGAGCTGTGGCATTCTCATTGGAGAACATACTCCTGTGCCAGGGAGCAATGCCATAACACTGCTTGGGTTAGGAGACGAGTATGAGAAAGTATATTCTCTATCTCAAATTTATATCAAAAAGGCAGCTTAATTGTTTTTTGCACTTCATGCACAAAAACGGGAGCAAGGAGAAAGGTTCTTGACTGATTCAGGCTTGCAGACTGGCATAGCACTTTAGGGTGGGGAGAATTTTGTTTGAAGAAGGAATCCTTAAGGTATTCCAAAGCAGGTACAGAGTTGCAAGAATGAAAAGATGATCTCCCCTTCTGTGTCCTGTTGTCCCTGGTCATCATATGAATGAACCTGGACACTCTTTGGAGTCCTAGACAGACTATACCCTACCTGGGTCTCACCTATGTTAAGGGCTTAAGAACAACAACAGGAACACCTCCAGGAGTTGGCATGCTCTAGCTGCACCACAGCTGCACTAATGCTTGTCTAAAGGACGGTAATCATGGGAAAATCACACCTGATAAGCACTTTTCTTTCTTTGGCATGGTCACCTTCCTGCCATTCTTAAAAATCAGATGGAGGTTATCCATACCTGCTTCGTACTTGGAAAATGATGGCTTCTTTTAAGGGAATTAAATAATCTATTACTAGTCACCTTTAACATCACACTATTCCAAAATGATTACTTTTATTATTTTATATCCCTGTCCAATTTGCACATAGAGTTGTGAACTGTATAGTTAATAACAGTATGGACTCAATGAAAATTGTTTTTGTAAACTATGTACTAGAAACATGTCTTAATTGACAAAGCTTTCTCTTTAAAATTCTCTTAAAATACATAGAAGAGTGAAAGCACTCTGTGAAGGAACGATCATTTGAACCTGACTCGAATTCCTGATAGTTTCCCTCCCACTTTCATTGATAACATGAAGTGTCATTTTTACTAAAACCCTGAATTTTTTAGGGCATTGTTTTCTTTGGCTACCAACAAATTGTAGCTTTAAACAATAGCATAGGTTGGAAGTTAACAGAACGTTAACAAGTACTGGGAAAAGAAACAAGCTAAACATGTAACTGACATGCTAATTGTTATTGGAATACTGGAAGTCACAGAGAACGGATTGTTCCCAGGAGCAGACACACCACTCATACTCACCAAGGGCATGTTGGAGATGGCCAGGTGCTTTGACTCCCTTCTGATATTGATGGAGAAACTTGCCTTTAGGGCAGGTTCATCAAAGCAGGGAAAGGCCATTCTAGCTGCTGTGGGTTCAAACTGTGTTGATGCAAGTATCCTATAGTCACAGGAAGTGAAATGAAATCAAGCAACTCCAAAGCAGTTTTTTTTTTTCAACTCTTTAACTTAATATCCTTGGATTTCACTACTAAATGGCTATTTTTTTTAAAGTAAAGTCGTAGGGCTTGGTGGTTAAGAGTGCTCTTGCAAAAGACTGCATTTGGTTCCCAGTACCCACATGGTATGGCTCACATCTGCCTAACTCCAGCTCCAGGGGATCTATACCCTCTTCTGGCCTCCAGACACCTATCCCTCCACAGACACCTACACACACACACACACACACACACACACACACACACACACACACACATTCACAAATAAAAATAAAGAATAAATTAAAAACAAGAAGAGGGGCTGGGGAGGTGGCTCAGTTGGTAAAGAGTCTGCCCTGCAAACATGAGGACCTGAGTTCAGATCCCACTCAGGTAAAAAAGTTGGGCAAGGTGACATACGCCTGTAACCCCAGCACTGTGGGGAACCAAGACAGGTGGATCCCCAGAGCTCACTGGCTCACTAGCCAGGTACTCCCAGAAATCAGTACACACTGGGTTCAGTAAGAAGAGAGAGCGAGAGAGCAAGAGAGTGCAAGCAAGAGAGCGAGAGACTATGGAGAGCAATCTAAGAAGACAGATGACTTTAATCTTGGCCTCCATGGGCATGTGTATGTGGGAACAAAAACAGATACACATAAGAAAAGCATTACATATGACAAAAGCTCTTATTTACAAACCTTGGAAAATTAATAGAAAAATATCCAAGGAGGAGTTAATAGCCTTAAAAGATTAATAGTCTTAAACTCTAAATAATCGCCATGTGGAAGCTCAGGAAAAAGTCATTAGCAATTCAGAAAAGAAAAATCTACACATAATTAATAAACATGCCCAAAGCTGATTGACTTTTTTAATAATTAAAATACTAAAATTTGAGGGAGAGATCAATTTTTAAATATTTTGCTCCGAAAAAATTCTTAATACACGGCATTAGTTAGGAGTGAGGGAATAGCAAGGGATAGCAGAAGGCTGTAGACTCTGACTTACCAGTTCTACTTCAAGCATTTATTCTAAAGAAATTATTGATGAGGACATTCATCGAAGTGTTGTTAATATTGTAAACTTGTAAACAACTTAATTTCCATAAATGAGATAATAAATTGGTGTAAAAACATACATTTTAATAAAATCATTAACATGATGCATAGTAATGCAAAGTATTTTTAAAAACTTGCTTCTAAAGCACAAAATGTAACAAAGTTCCATTTACATGCGATAACATATACACATACCCAGAAATAAATCTGGAAGGATGCTCCCCTGAGGGCTATATCTGTGATAAATTTTACCTAAAGACATTCTTTTTGATATCATTTGACTTTTTATCTTGCTAAAATAACATGAAATCAGCATACTCTACTAAGAGAATTTGATGCTAAAATTTAGAATAAGATCTCCCCAAATACATCTTTTCCTTAAAAGCAAAGCAGTGGATGTATCCAAAACAATAATTTAACTGAGAGAAAAATGTTTCCAAAAGATATATTAAGGTCCTTATCCCCAGTATGTGTGAATGTGGCCTTATTTGGAAATAGGGTTTTTGCAAATGTAATAAAGTTAACACAAGGCCATCAGGATGAGTCCCAATCCAGTGAGATTGGTATTCTGACTAGGAAATTTAGATTTAGGACACACAGGGTGCTAGGGAGATGGCCATGAAACAACAGAGCAGTGATGTGGCTATTCATCATGGAGTGCCGAGGACCACAGCGAACAGATGCTAGCAAGAAACAAGGAAGGATTGCACCCAGAGTCCATGGGCCAGCTCATGCTCCAGTACAGAGCTCCAGCCACCAAAACTGGGAGAAAATACAGACTATTCTTCTAAGTGACCTAGTTTGTGGCACCTGTTAAAACAGCACTAAGAAACTAATGCATAGGGCAAAGAATTAAAGTACTTATTATAGCTCATAAATTTAATTAAATAAACAAATAGATATTTATTTTGTTGGAGCCAGGGCAAAGAAAATTGATTAAAATAGAATAAAAAATAGATTTAAAAAAGCAAAGGAGAGGGCTGGAGAGATAGCTCAGTGGTTAAGAACACTGACTGTTCTTGTAGAAGACCCGGTTCAAATTTCAGCACCCACGTGGCAGCAAACAACTGTCCTTAACTCCAGTTCCAGGGAATCCGACAGTCTCTTCTCTCCTCCGCAGGCACTGCATGACACGGGTGCACTTACCTACATGCAGGCAATACATGCATACACATAAAATAAAAATGATAAATAAAATATTTTAAAAAGAGAGAGCAAGGGAGAAAGCCATCCTTCAAGCTATAGAGATGAAAACATCACTGAAGAGATCAGCAAGCAAGGGCATTTGAAAAGACCATGCATCTGAAGCAGTATGTTTAGTGAGGACAGCACTTGACACTTGAAATGTTTTACATTACCTCACTTCCCCTTCCTTGGTTTTGTAGGTGCTTTTATAAAATCCATGGAAGTTCTCAGACAGGTTACCAGCATAGTCGATGACAACGGTATACAAGCGCCCAGCAAAGAGTGGTTCAGGGGCCAGAAGTGCAATTTGCTCATGAGGGGGATATTCCAGGACCCTCAGTGGTTCTTCAGACAGAATCTCCCCAGGTCTTCTCTGGAGGGTGGCCTTAGATATGTGCAGCTGGTGACTATGCAGGATGATGGTGCTAGTGGGCTGGCTGGCTATGATTTCTATTTCTGTGGTTCCCTGGAAAGTCAGTGTGCTGAGATTTGCATGGATCATGAGATTATAATGAATTGGGGTTACATTCTTAGGAAGTCGCATTTTATTCCAAGGGAACGGGGCTCCATTACTAGCTTTTGGAGATGGAGCAGCACCATTCTGACACCAAGAAGGAGGTGACACAACTAAGAGAGTCAAGAGTGAGGAAAAGAAAAACGGCATGTTTGCAAGTGGCCATTTGAGGGGCAGAGGCGCCATCTTCCTGCTCAAACACCTACAGACATAAAAAAGCAAGATGCATAAAAGCAAATTAAAAAGTCATTAAAATGTTATTACAACAGTATAATATCAGAATTCATTTAACCAGTATTAACAGAATCTTCCAAAAGTACTAGGCATTTTCTTGAAAGTAAAATTACTTTCCTTGTGCTATTGATAGCACTCCCCTGCTCTGGCCCCCCTTCTTTCTGAGACAGTCTATGTAGCCATGGGAGATCTGAACTTTCTACATAAACTAGGCTGACCTGGAACCTGTCATGATCCTCCTGTCTCTTCTTCCTGAGCACTGGAATTACAGGACATGTGGTCAGCAGCACTCTGCCTTCCTACTAGAAGGCATCATTAGTTGAAAGCAATAGAACACACTCTGGGCAATGCAGATGAAAAAGGAAATATTAGATGATCTAGAGAAGCTCAATAAATGAAGCCCAGGATCAGTGGGCAACAAGCAAGGATGGTCAGACAGAGCCACAGCAGGATGATGAAGGCACCACTCCTCATCCACACTCAACCTCAGAGTAAACTGCTTGAGTGTTCCAGTGCCCTGGAAGTCAGAGGTTGGCATTTCTCCAGTCATGATTACAATGACCAAAGATGTCCCCTCTGCCCCTGTGTCAGCTTCACCAGCTTTGAAGTCCATTTGTCTGAACTGAGGTTAGATGTCTACAACACCAATCAAGATGAACTGAAAACAAGAACCTAGACTACTCAGCTTCTGCAGTAGGAGATAGACCTTGTATTCCAGCAAGCTTCTCAAGGTAGAGAGGATATTAGACATTAATGTACAGAAAGTAATACAAAATAGAATGGTAGATTATATAAAGTGCTTAATAATAATAATAATAATAATAATAGCAACTATAGCAACTTTGTGTTGGGAAGAATAGAATGCCATTGACAAAGCAAAAGAGGGGGAATCTGACTGCAGTGACTCTACGGGATGCAAGACCAGCATTTGCCTACAGCCCAGAATAACAGCTCAGATTTGGAAATAAAGCAGGTCGGGCTGGCAGAGAAAGAGCTAAGGTACAAAGGGAGAACACTAGAGAGAGCAGTTCCTTTAACTTCCCAGGATTCTACTGGAAAGTCAGGATTGAGAGTTTCCACCATAATCCTTACCAAACATCAGCCTTAACCGTTTAAACTCTGTGGTAAGACAGCATTCCAAGGCAGTAACTGATGTGTGTTCCTCTACCACTCATTCTCAATCCCATTTTTTTCCAAATACAGTTAAAGACACCCATCACCTTCTCCTGCACTAGAGTAGATCCACAGGCTGAACAGAAAGGTTTGTCCCATAGCAGAAGCAATAGGGAGACCATAATCCCAGGTCCAAAGGCAATACTCCATGAACAAGACAGAAGGTGTGACCAGTGAAAACAGGTTTTTTGGCTTCCTGACTTTTACTAACTAAAAGATACCTACAGACTCTTGAGGGAGTGGAGCAATTTAAAGAAAAATAAAGCTTAACTACTAATATGTTATAGAGCTTCTGCTCCTAATTCTTCAGGCCAAGCCCCAGAGCAGGGACAAAATGATGGATTTCCTTGAAGATGGAGAACCAAGAGTAAAGAGAAGTTGTATCTTGCTTCCATGTGGAATTCTCAGTGGCAGCAGCGTCATGGGTGTGGCCCCAGGATGGGAGAGAGCTCTGTGAGCCTGGCAGGTTCAAATAAGCAAGCACTCTAGAAGTCCCAGAGCATTTTCCAGCAGCCAGTAGGGAATCTAAAAGTTCCAAGTGGCTCTAAGTTAACAGAAAAACTTGTGAAAAGCTGAAAGGTTGGTAGTGGGGGCTCATATTAAGGACTTTCATGACTGGATCCGTAACGGGGCCAAAGAAGACATGGTTGTGTCTCAAGTCTTCAATGCCAAGAAGGAAAATGGAGTGTAACACAGACAGCAGAAATGTCAGTGTTTGTTTATTCGTGCACAGTCAATGGATAAATGAGGCGAACTTCCACAGCTCTGAGTCTTTCCTTAAAAGAAAATTACCTACCTTGTATTCTTGATTTAACCTAAAGGAAGAAGTTTACAATTAGCAATAACCATTAAAAGCCACTAAATTTTGTATTCTAGTGGAT